AAAACAACAAAAAAACAACAACAAAAAACAACAGACAACAAAAAACAACAAAAAAACAACAAAAGACGACAAAAAAAACAACAACAAAAACAACAAAAAACAACAAAAAACAACAAAAAAACAACAAAAAACAACAAAAAACAACAAAAAACAACAAAAAACAACAAAAAACAACAAAAAACAACAAAAACAACAAAAAACAACAAAAACAACAAAAAACAACAAAAACAACAAAAAAACAACAAAAAAAACAACAAAAAACAACAAAAAAAAAACAACAAAAAACAACAAAAAAAAACAAAAAAAAAAACAACAAAAAACAACAAAAAAAAAAACAAAAAAAAACAAAAAAAAACAACAAAAAAAACAACGAAAAAAAAAATAAAAATCAAAAAACAAGGCCAATCATCATCCAGTTATTTTGTGGCCTATTAATATACTCTTCTCACAGTAGTATGTGAAGAATTTAGTTCCGTCCGTCCGTCCAATGTTACGTTTTTTGTCAAAAACGAAAAACGATCAATTTAAAAATTTCAGGAAAAATCAAGCTCTATAAGGGGACGAAGTCTATCGATGTTCAAAAAAATTTGAATAAAATTGGGGTGTTAAGGAAGGTCGAAAGTTAAAAAAAATCATAAACCAAAAAAGAAAAGCGACATCAACATGAAATTTTTAGTACAAGTCAAGCTCTATAAGAAGATGAAGCTTATTGTAACGATTGTTTAATTTGTAAATAGTTTATTTATTTACGTACTAATTAATTTATTTAATACTTATATTATAATTCATACTTTTAATTTATTTTACAATTTATTTTAACTTGACAACAATTATATTGAAACTTAACATCTGCCGACAAAGTCATGCTATTTATATCAAAATATAACAGCCTAAAAAAATCCAATCCTGACTAGAAGCTCCGCTAGTCTGGAATTTCTCGGAAATACGTCCTCCTTGCGTCGAACTTCGTACAAGAAACATTCTAGTTACTTTAGAGAGTCAAGGGGGCTTATAATAAAAACAAAATAGAAATTAAACACCAGAAGCGATATCAACATAAAATATTTAGTAAATATCAAGCTCTAACAAAAAAACGATATCAAATTGAATTCTTTAGGAAAAATCAAGCTTTATAAGGGAATGAATTCTATCGATTCTGAAAAACATCTTATTAAAAATGAGGATTAAGGGGTCTAAACTATAACGAGTTAATGTAACATCTTGTATAGAATTTGATAAGGCCACATTATTGAGAAAAATAATCTTATAACCTGTAAAGAAAATGTTACTCAATAGTAACATAGTGCAGCTAATCCATTGTTTTTAATTAAATAGCTTAAAATATTTTCAAAATTATAATACGGAAATTACAGTAAGTAATATAAAATCTTAATTTTCAATGGTAAGATAGGGTCAGACTTGTTCGTTGAGACACCGTGTTTACCTTAATTTATTTTTTAAAGGTGCGCCGATCTGAGAACACTAAAATTTTATTTACATTCGATAAACCATTCCAAATTATTTTTGTTTAAAAAGTGAAATAATGCCGACAAAAAAATATTGACTGAACCATCCAAACAGCCGTTAAGTCAAATTCATTGGTTTTGAACTATTCCACCAAGAAATATTTTTCATATTTTTGGAACAGAAATATTTCAGTGATCTCCTATAAAAACGTAGGAATGGGTATTTAGGGGTAATTGTACCTGGTTAAATAAAATGATAATAATAACAATACCACCCTTATCTTACAAATGACATGGTTAGTGACTTAAAATTTTCAAGAAAACTAAATTGACCGTTATGACTACCGCAACCCGAACACTGTCAATTTTAACGTTATTACAATAAAAAAAATCATCAATAGGCACAGGTATCTACTGAAAAATAAAAATTCAAAGGATAATTTTGTTTTTAATAAATGTTCAATATGGCCACCACTTCGTTCATACAGATTTCAATTCGACGCAAGAAATTGTAATGTTTACTTCTCAAAATGCCTAGATTATTTCGCATAGAGTTCACAACATTTTGAATCCTACCTCATAATTATTGTTCAATGTTGTCGATAGGAATTTCATAAACTGGTTTTCAAGTAACACCAGATAAAATAATCACAAGGATTACAGTCCGGTGATCGAGGTGGCCACTGAATAGGAGCATCCCGACCTCTGCCAATCCATCTTCCATGGTATTGTTCATTTAAATAATGTCTTACAATGCGAGAAAAATGAGGTAGTGCACCATCGTGTATGAAAACATGTCTCGGCATAAATTGAGCGGTAAGTCTTCTAACAGTTGAGGTGAATCTTAACGTAGAAAATGTAACTGTCACCGTTAAGGCAATCTAGCCATCTAAATGGACCAATCAAGTAGGTGTCAATAACCCACCCATACATTAATTTTTAACTCTCGTTGAAAATGTTTCTCTCTAATGGCATGTGGATTTTCATCTGAGTGAAAATGTTCGTTATGTGCATTTGTTATACCACGTCGAGTAAAACATGACTCGTCTGTAAACAAAATTTTTCTACCAAAAACTGGATCGACCGCTCTGCGCTCTTGATTGACTTGTACAAAATGCAAATGAGACTTATAATCAGGAGGTAGGAGTTCCTGGACACTTTGAATGTGAAAGGGATAAATAAGTTGTTCTCTAATTATTCTGTTGGATGTGCTTTTTGAAACCCTAGTTTGGCGAGCCAGTCATCGGGATTATTTTCAACTATTTCAAGTATTCGATCCTCTGCAGCAGCAGTTCTGGCTTGACAAGATCGTCCAGCAATATTTCTGTCCAGTTTCAGTTGACCAGTTTCTCGAAGTCGCCTTCCGATAGAAGCAAACATAAGAAAAATTAAAGAAGAATGTTTGGATTATAGGCGCTAATTGTTTCCTTACTTATACTTCCCCAGAAGCGATTAGGGCGCTGCAAGCACTAAATATGAAGTCGTTTTACACTCATAAAAAAGATGTTTTTAAAAATAATAATAAATAAATCAATAATTTTACTGATTCAACCCTTTAAATTTCACTTTAATACAATGCATGATCAAATGCAGAGATAATCGTTAATAAATGTAAAGTTAAAGCTAAATTTAAATGTTATAAGATGATGTAAATCTGGCTTTGATAATAAATTAGGTTATGTTACACTAAAATAAGAATATGTCTATTTTCTTGGAAAATGGAAAATGTAGGTGAGTAAAATAAAATTAATATAGTTTAAGTTAGATTTAAGTAATTTATTGATTGCGAAATGTGTGAAACCAATTTACGAAAAGATATTGTAGAACCTCATCATAGTTTTGCTTATTTAAAGGAACATAAAAAAGGGCTTCGATTTATTCCCAAAAAGGATTTTTTTTAATTTTTGGGTACTATTCATGATTATATTTATCAAATACTACTCAAATATGGTCATATAGACATTGTTCAAAAACTAATATTTATTTATATATTTACATCAACTTGTTAATTTTGTATGGTTCACCTCTAAAGATCATTTAATCACAAGGTGTTTTTTATTATTTTAATTTTGTGTACCTTTTATTGTAAGAAAATATAATGTTTTAAACATTTAAAAAACTGCTCTCGGTTAATTTTTTATTTTAAAATGCAACTGTGCCCTTATTTTTGTTTTGTTTTAGATATTCCTGTATGGAGTATGGAGATTTTTGGAACGATATTACAATTTCGCTAGATAGAAATAGATGCACAAACGAAAAAATATTAGAATTAGAATGTTTTTTCCATCTATGTATTTATTTTTTATTGCGGACAAGTTAAACATAAAGAAAATAAAGACTGTCACAGAAACTTCAAGTGATCGTTTCCTTTTCAGTCCTTTTGATAACATGTAGGTACAGGTACTTATTACATTTTGGTATTAAATTTTAATCAAGTTTAATGTACATAAGTAGATATTACCTTTCTTTGTTAAATTGATTGTAAATATTTACTACTAGTATTTTGTACGTTTTCTGTGAAAAAATTCTTGTTTTCATGAAAATGATACCTATCCAATTTTTTAAATATAAATATATTATTACGTGATGTAGTGCTTATATTATGAATATTTGATTAGAAAATAAGGGAACTCGTTATAATGTAATGACATAGTAGTTATTCTAAATAAATTAAATTTATTAAAAATGTTTCGATTTTTTACTATTTTACACAAGTGACAGTTTCCATTTTTCAACATTTACATGCAACAAGAATGCAGTAAACTTATTCTTTGTTCTCGTTGTAAGTAAAAGTTGTGAAATAAGAAAATGTGACTTCAAATTGCTTCAAATATCATAAATAATAGAGCTTGCCACTTTTTAAATCGCGTTACTTAGTAGTGTCCTACTTTATCGACTGTTACCGACAGGATTAGTTCCCCAGAAGCGGGTAGCGCGCTACTGTCGAGGCCAAGCAAACTTGATACCAACTATGTACAGGGAAAACGGCTACCCTTGGAAACAAAAGTCTGGTGAATCGGAATCTGTCGATTTGGAAATCTTTCATGGTATAATCGAACACTCTCACGACAGTTGCCATTACAGAAACCAAGTACTAGCAACGTATTAGTTACCAGCCACAAAATATTTGAAGTAACTCCTTCACAAGAACTTTGAAGCGAAACAAAAAAATACAATACATAAAATGAGTAGTATCAATTTTTACAGTTCTATACCATATTTATAGTAACGTTGACAACCGCTAACTTAGTTTTCTTGAAAATTTGATTCCATAATGTTTCAGAAAACATGTCAAACTTCTAAGAATTGAGTTATATTTACATTTTATTGTAGGTACCTTCCAGATAGTTATAGATATTAACTTTCATGCTCAATTATATATAAGGTATGTATAGTAATTTAAGAAAATCGAACTTTTAGGTGGAATTGTTCGGCCAATAGTGAACTGTGCTCTTCGGTTTTATCAGAGTAAGCCGGAGGCTTGGCTAGAAAAAAATTGACTCAGTTATGTACACATTAACGACCGAGGAAATATATAGAGCTAGGAGGGGTATTTTAGGCCATTATAGATTAGATTGCATCTAGTTTTAAGTTCATTAGGTATTTGTATATCTTAAAGTGCACTAAAATGTTCCGAATTTTTTATATTATATTATTAATAAAATTTGCTTGTGCGGAAATTTTTGATTTTACTGATGTTGATGATCCGTTGAACACCGTGTTTTCACAAAATGAAAGTAAGTGTATTAAATGAATAATTTTTATTTTGGAATTTTTAATTGTTTTTTACTTCAGGGTTATTTTTTATAAAATACCCATCTTTTACCATTGTTATTTTTTAAATATCCTAGGTGTTAAAGTTAAAAATGACAAGTATTATGTTTATTAAATTAATCAAAATAGTTTACAGTGAGGGATTGAAATTTTTACCTAAAAATTATACAAAAAGGAGAAAAATAAAACTTGACACTAGTTTACCTAACGTGTGTGGCCTAGAGCAATTTAATTTTAACTGATTGCCCTCGCACAAGTTAGGTAATGTAGTTAATTTCTTTTATAAAAAACTTAACTAACTTACCTAACCTGTGTGGCCTGGAGCCGTCGTGGTTTACCTCGCAAAAATACTGTGAAAAAATGAGAAAAAGAAAAAACTTAATTAATTTTCCTAACCTGTGTTATTTAAATTTAATTGATTGCTCTCGCACAAGTTAAATAGGTTTTTTTTTTAATTATAAAAAATTTAATTAATTTATATAACCTATGCGGTCTCGCAAAAAAATCATAGAAAAAGGAGAAAAACTTAAAAAAATCTAAACTACTTTGCCTAATGTGTCCGGCCTGGAGCCCTTAAGGGTTGCTTCGCAAAAAAAAATTATACAAAAAAAAAGAAAAATAAAAACCTAACTAAGCTAATCTGTGTGGCCTAGAGCAATTTGATTTTAACTGATTGCTCTCGCACAGGTTAGGTAAGTTAGTTAGGTTTTTTATTTTTCATTTTTTGTATATTTGATTTTGCAAAGCCACCAGCGATGACTCTAAGCCTCACAAGTTAGGTAAATTAGTTGAGTTTTTTATTTTTTCTAATTTTATGTAATTTGTTTTTTCGATCAATTTTTTTTTATCAAATCTATTTTCGATCAATTTTGTTTTCGACTCATTGTTCTTCTTGATCCATTTTCTTTTCGATCATTTTTGTTTTCGACCAAATGTTTTCGACCAAATGTTTTCGATCAAATGTATTCGATCAAATGTTTTCGATCAATTTTGTGCCACCCTCAAGCTTTACAATGGGACAAAGCTTATTGATTTTTAAAAAATCTAATCACAAATAGGGGGATAAGGGAGGAGGGTTGAAAAAAATTTATAAATAAACAACGAAAAGCGATATCAACATGACAATTTTTAAAAAATCAAGTTTTATAAGGAGACAAAGCTTATTGATTTTGAAAAATCTTATTAAAAATGGAGGGGTTAAGGGGGGAGTTGAAACCTCAAAAAAAAATTAAAAAACGATACCTATCAACTTAAAATTTGCTGGAAAAATCAAGCTCTAAAATGGAACGAATCCAATTAATTTTTAAAAAAATCTAATTAAAAGGGTTGTTAAAAGGGGGTTTGTTTAACTGTGAACAGTATTATATAGAATGCCAAACATTATATATCTTCATTCTAGTTTATCCTTTAATTCAGTTTCGAATTTCAGGTGTCCAAATTATGAATGATTTCATGAGGGCTTTTTTGGATTTTTACAATAATGCTGAATAATCAGATATTGTGACCATCTATTCTGTAGTGTTAAAAATTTCAGTTTGAGTTTTATTTTGTACATACATAGCTCAAGTCTAAATAAAAATAAAATTTAAGATGGAAACTGTGAGATTTAGAATTATTGATATTGTGATTTATATTGAGAGAAGTACCTATAGATAATAGGTACAGAACATAATGTGGATGTACTCTATGAATACAGTAAGTATTATCAGTAAAATATCAGATGATGATGATGATGATTAAGTGTATTCATGATAAAAACAAAGTTGTGCAGTTTATGGAAGTTCAAATTACCCATTAGAAAAAAGATACAAATTATAGTAGCAGTTACAGGTATCTGGAAAATGGAAAGTCATAAACAAATAATTTTTTAAGTTAGTGTTTTATTATTTATATTAAATTATAAAGGTATATTAACTAATTTATTTAAAATATTTTCACCCAGACTGTAAAGGCTAACAAATTCACAGTATGTGTTTAAAATGTTTACTATTCTCTTCATCTGTATCTGTATCTATAACGCGTGGAGGGTGGGTTACCCCCACAGCACTTAGGTCTTATTAGGCCAATTGTATATCCTCCTAAGATGATAGGCATCTCTTAGCTCGTGAGCCAGCCTACATATTTAATGTAGTTGACAACGTTGCCAAGAGGTGCTTCTCTTATATCGGCCGGTGTTAGCCGATACTCGCCGAACACAAATCTTCTAATAAATAAGATCGTCGAGCAATCGTAAAGGATATGCTGGATGGTCTCATCTTCTTGTTCGCAGCCTCTGCAGAGTGTGGATTCTGACAGCTCCATGATATAGAGATGCTTCCGTATTTGGCAATGATCAGTCAGAATGCCGGTGACTAGGCGCAGATTCTGTCTAGTCATAGTCAAGTATTTGTCGGCTGCAGTGTTGTCAGGATAACTTAAGAGCTCCCTGGCAAAAGCGACGTTTCGCCTCACCAAATCCTACATCAGGTTCTATTCCAACCGTGCGGAGGCATGTCATTGTCGTCAGAGCAACCTCCTTGATGTAAATATCAAGGGAAGTGCGACTAAGAATGACTTCCACGTCTCTGGCCGGTGTTGTTTTCATGGCTCCTCTTATGTTGAGACATGCTGTTTTCTTTGAATTTGTTCTAGTTTACGGATAGCTGGTAATTTTTGGGTTTTCGGTACCCAGACAACTGCACCGTATGTTAGCATAGGTCTTATGATATCCGTGTAAGTCCATGTGACGACTCTAGGGGAGAAACCCCAGGTGCGCCCCATGGTTCGGCGGGATTGTTCATTGCTTACAATTTTTTTTTTCATATTTTTTTAACAGTTTCCCCTCACTTATATTTTGTATTTCATTTAAAAGCGCTTCTCCAGTACATAAACATGCAAAGGGTTTTTAATTAAATCATTCACCACATTCCATAATTTTAACAAAAGGTGAAACAATTGTTACTTATGGTTGGTTCCTGCTGAGAAACCTAAAACAATGATTTTTAGAGTTTAACTTATAGGAGAGTCAGTCTCCGAAACACCTTTTCTACTTGCTATTTTTTTAACCGGCATCAAAAAAAGGAATAGTTTCTTCATTCGTCAAAATATTTTTTTAAATTATTTTTGACTTACAACCGTTGTCAAACTTAAGTAGGACCGCTGTCATTTATTTGTCAACCGGAACCGCTTGCGTGAGTTAAATTAAAAAAGCTACAGTATTGCCGTCGTCACTGAATCGGATAAATTCTAGATGGTTGCGGCCAACTCGAGAAACTTCATGTAGGCGAGCTGGCGAAAACGGAAGCAACACCGGACGGGTTGAAAATGGCTCGCACGACAATAAAATTGTCTAAATATTTTATTGCAAACAGTATAGATGTTTAATATAAGTCTCCTTTATGATTTTAAGTTGTATAAAATGTCATACTAAAAATTTAAAACCCCCAAATTATACAACTCTATTCGCCATTTATTATCGTTAACTCTATATCTTCTAACGTACAAGAATCCAATAGTGCATTGTATACCCTCTATAACCTCAATTAAATTATATAAAATAGTCATCTTAATTTAGTACTGCTGGAATTCTTCAATAATTAAATAAAAAAAAATAATAATACTTCATAAAGAAATTAGTTGCAGAGATTTCTCTGACAGTTTGTGTGGCTCACCCTGTAGGTTTATAGCGTAGTTAAAAAATTACAACCCACATTTTATTTTTAGAAATACAGTTGAAAGTTACGGAATGTAAAGCAAATACAAAAAGCGGTTTAAAATACGGAACATGTGTCCCGTATGGTACTTGTTTACTTTCAAAAGGAGCGCCTAATGGATTTTGTGGGTTACTGCAGACCTGCTGTATTTGTAAGTATTTTGTTTGATTAGTGTAAACCGAATATAATAAAAAAATATCTATGAATAAAAAATATAGTGGTTACTACTGTAAATAATTTTACAGCACTAAATCATTTCATAGATCATAGATCATATTTTGATGAAATACAATCAATAAATATCATATCTTAATATGTATATCAGCAGCCTGAGTATATTTTTCTCAACCATCTACCTTTTTAACTTATCATCTACCAAGTCTATAAATATCTAAATTGTTCATGTTTTATGAAAATATTTTTTGTTCATATCAAATATAAACTGTAACATATTCAACAATTATACCTGAAAATTATCACACAGATTTAAAGAAGAAAGAAATAAGTACCTATTAACAAATAATAGATAAGGTTAAATAATTTTTTTGGGATTCATCATTTGGTTAACCGATTTTTGATACCCTATCTTCTTAAAAAATTGATTGTCACTTTTTTAAAACCAAAAATGTATTCATATATCTTGACCCTTAACACTTTTTCTATATATTATATTGCCCTTAGCGTTAATTATTGGTTGGATTATCCTCTGTATGTATGATAGCATGAATGCAACCAATTTTACAGTTTTTTGGTTTTAGATGAAAATACTTGTGGAAAAACTAGCAATGCCAAAGTAAGTTACTTTGAAGAATCAGAAGTACCTACAGGCACCACACATTGTGATTATATAATTCAGCTAAGAAACAAAAATATATGTCAAGTAAGGTAAGCATGAACAATTATTTGGAAATAAATACTAGGAGTTATTAAGCAAAGTAAATTTTCATTGAAAAAATATTCGACAGCAACTGGGGTCTATTCTGTAACACATCCGTTAAAATTTAGAGGCCTTTAAAAATTTAACTTTTATCGGTCCGTTAATTTTTTTAACCAAAAATAGTATTCTGCATACACAAATTTTAGAGGACTGTTAAAAATTATTTCTTTTAAAGGGTCCTCTTAAAAATGACAGGAGAACACTTGACAACATCGCATTTAAGATTCATTTGAACTAATTTTGAAGGATTAAAAGAATAAAATTGAAAAAATAAACATAAAAACCCTCAATTTTGAATTCAAAACAAAAACATACCTACATACATTTAAAATAAAAAATGTCTCGCACACCAATAACTACTAAAAACCAAAAAGAGTTGATAATAAACTTTTTAGAACAGCAAAATTTGCTTCGTGGTGGGAAAATAAACTCAATAGATACAACGAAATTGATTATATAATATTAACTATAGCTACCTATCTTTAAAAACAGAAAAATATTTTTAAAATCTACATTTGGCAACTGAAATGGATTGCTTACTTTATTATACCTTTCTTCAGTATCCATTAAGGTGATTACAGCACCCCCTTATAATTTTCGGACAAGGATATCTCAAAAAGTAATTTTTTTAGAAAATTTAAATTTGGGTAAAATAAATTAGGCAACAATATCTAGAATATTCATATTTTTTAAAGTTTTAATTACTTCCAGTTTCCGAGAAAAAAAATCAAAGGGCTTTAAATTTTAAAATATCATAATGAAAATAAATGCATTCCTCAACAGCACTATTCCTAATATAATCCCTAAATTTAAGCTCTCAATCTCTTGTTAATGATTTTTTAAAATTCGCCGAAATTAGTGGCTAAAACGCCTCGTTAAGTGCTTCTTTCTAGTGTAACGCGTCTGTAACTATCGTATCGTACACTCTGAGTCATCATTCGTTTCTTGCAACGATTTACACCAGTTTACACCATTTTAAACCAGAAAATAGCACTTAACAAGGCGTTTTAGCCACTAATTTCGGCGAATTTTAAAAAATCATTTACAAGAGATTAAGAGCTTAAATTTGGGGATTATATTAATAATAGTGCTGTTTAGGAATGCATTTATTTTCATTATGATATTTCAAAATTTAAAGCCCTTTAATTTTTTTTCTCGGAAACTGGAAGGAATTAAAATTTTAAAATTTATGCATGTTTTAGATATTATTGCCTAATATATTTTGCCAAAATTTTAATTTTTTTAAAAAATTACTTTTTGAGATATCCTTGTCCGAAAATTATAAGGGGGTGCTGTAATCACCTTAACTCTTCGATCAAAATTTCTCCAATTATGTCATAAAACGCCATTATCGGTTTCGTTAAAAATTAAAGGTAAATTTTAACATCTCTTTAAAAATGATAATTATTAGAGGACTATTTTAAAGGAGTCCGTTTAAATAATAAGAGAAGTAAGTTAGTGAATACGAAAATATTTTTAAAGGCTGCTAATATTTTAACGAACCGTAAAATATAAAGAAATTGTTACAGAATATACCCCACTGTCTCTTAAAAGTAGAAATTACAAATTATAGGCATATTTTAAATTATTAACAAAACCAAATCAGTAAATATATAAAAATTCAGACATTTTAAAAACAAAAAGAGTTCTTCGTCTAAGAGTAATTAGGAGAGACCCACAAAACATTTAAAGCATGCCATTGCCGACAAAGAAAGAGATACGAGTCATGTTCGTGATAACTACGATTAGCTTTGAATTAATTCCACAAACTATCACTTAATAAGATAACAAAATGTATGCCCTGACATACGTGAATTTTGTCAACCCCTACTTTGGAAACATTTTTTTGTGGATTACTCCATATTATATAAAAACGTATTTTAAGTATTCAAATTGATTTATTGTTTAAAATTTATAAAACAGTACCCACGAGCCATATTCCATCCTATGACTTTTTGATATATACAATGTTGAAATTGAAAGTTCGACATTTTTCGTTTTAGACATGTAAAATTGAAACAATCGAGTCGGTTACAGAAGAAAGATTAGATTAGGAGTTGGACGTTATTTGTCCTTGTCCACCGCGACCTTTTCAGATCTATTGTGAGACTCCGTTTGTTTTAGAGTATGTCGTCTAGCCTGGTCTTTTTTATTAGACTTAGTAGCTTTGACAGTGGCTCCCGCATGTAGTTGCATGCAATTGACTTCTCTTCGCCCAATGTTAGAAACCTCATTCCAGCCAGGCCTTCGCATTGGCACAGGACGTGGAATGATGTTTCCTCTTCTTCTTCACAGAACCTGCACAAAGTTGCTTCTTTTGCTGGATTTATAACACTCATGTGACTTTTGAGGCGACAGTGTCCAGTAAGAAGGCCTACTGTTATCCTAACGATTTGACGCTTTTGATCCAGTAGGTCTTTCGTGAACTTGGCCGATGGTTCCTTGATGAACTGTTTGGCCTGTCTCAGTCTTGGATAGTTGTTCCACCATTCCTGAGACTCTTTTTGCATCCATTGTTTAATGGATGCCTTGCACAATGCCTTAGCAACTCCACAGAAGGGTTCTGGGCCTGTCATGGCCTTATCTGAGCCTTCTCGGGCTAATTCTTTGGCCTTTTCGTTACCCTGATATCCCTCATGGCCTGGAACCCAGGCTAAGGTCACCTTATTTTGACTACTTAGCTATGTCAGGTCTTCTAGACAGTCTTTCACCAGTCTTGATTTGATTTCTGGTGAGATAATTGCCTTTAGAGCTGCTTGGCTATCAGAGTATATGGCAATAGTTTTGCCTGATACTTGCTGATTTAATACCAGACGAGTTCAGCCTGTACGGGAGGTCCCTGTTTCCAGCATTCTTGGGCTGGTATTTGAATTTGAAAATTTCTTTCAAATTTGTATGTGGTTATGGCTGTATCAGTAGGCATAGCTAGAATATTATCCCTTTTTACTTGCTGATATAGCCTTGTGTGGTCGGCGCTATGTAGATGGTTTATTGGGTTTTGTCCCTGCTAACCTGGTTTCTCCTTGTATGAAGATGTGCAGCGGCGTGAGATTTAATAATACCTCCATTGCTGCGGTCGGCGTAGTGCGCATGGCCCCAGTAGCACTTAGACAGGCAAGCCGCTGAATGCTAGTGAGTTGGCCTATTGCACTTGCCTGCGCAGTTTGGTTACCCACGCCACTGCGCCATAAGTTATCATGGGTCTTATTACCCTTGTGTATAACCATATGGTCATTTTAGGGTTTAGACCCCAGTTTTTCCAACATATTCTTCTACAGCTTACGAGAGCTATTGTAGCTTTATGTGTGAGCTTTTTGAGATGTTGATTCCACGTCAGCCTTTGGTCAATACAGAAGCCAGATACAGAACAGTTTGTCGATTCCTCTCAATTGAATAGAACAGAGACTAAGTATTGAACGCACTATGTTTAGAAAAGCCTTAGGGCAATCTACCCGTCTTTTATAGTCCAGGATCTGTAAGTAAGGTCGACCTTCACCCATCTGTTTAATGGATAAAAGTTTTGTTTTGTTAAATACTCGTAAAATATGTTTTTAAATATACCGCAAATGGGTTGCCTAAGAAAATACGGTCACGGCCATTTTTTACTTTTCTGTATAGATAAGAAAAGTATGCGAATCATGATAAAAGTTGCTTATGATGTCATTATCTATTATACATGATTTTCCTAAAATGGACCTAATTTGAGATATTTGAGAAAAAGTGCAAATTTCGAATTTTGAAGACAACTCAAAAACGGATGAAGAGAAAAACACCAAATTGTAAACATAAGCTTTAATCCATCCTGCGGTGAGCTGATTAAAGTTTGGGCACAGTAGAAGCATCTGGGGAATAGTTTACAGGGTGTCGTTTTTCTTACTTTAAGAAAATAAATAGTCTGAACCGTATTTTCTTAGACAACCTATTTGCGGTATATTTATAAACATATTTTATTTAATAAAAATAAACTTTTATCCATTAAACAGATGGGTGAAGGTCGACCTTACTTCGGATCTTAGACTATTAGGAATTACCAATTTTGTCTACTACATTTTACAGGTCTAGTAATCTGTTTGGTAGGCATAATAGGAGTTTAACAGGCTTGTCCACTGGCTTCCTTATCTTCTAATATACCTCTTTAGAATTGTCTCTAGTTTCTTTAAAAGAAAAGATGATAGGCAGATCGTAAGATACGAGTTTGTTAGGGAGGTTTGTACCCTACCACCGTTTACATTGACAGGATATAGCTACACACTAGGCTTGCTGTAAACAGCCTCAAAGAAAGCTAGTAAGGATTCCTACCCTTTCTGCAGAAGAGAAGGAAATATGTCATTCTCTCCAGGTGATTAGAATGGGAACAACGAATTAATCGCCCATTTCATGGTGGGAGTTCGATTTTCTAGAAGGAAGGGGCACAGGTTGCCTGTTCTCTAGAATTCGACTACCTGAAGAGTGTTTCTGAAAAATAATCTATCACGTTTCCATACCAGAGTCCGTGTAGGTGTCACTGGGCCTTTTTATCGAGTCGACTTCCTGTTTCGGATTTTTGGCGAAAATCTGGTGGCGGCAGATAAAGCTAATATACTCTGACAACTTTCTCCACTATTCCCGTTTTGTCTTTCTGATGGCTTTTTGTGCTCAGGGACTTCCGGTATTGGTCCCAGCAACCTAAATATTTAGCTCGATTGAAGAGATGTCGAACGTATTTTCCTTTTTATGATTTCTGAACCACGATGCAGTTCCCATTAGGTCCCTTACCTCTTAATATGCATTTTATAACTGCTTTTCTAGAGTAATTTTAATGTGATCATTCGCTACTTGAATATAAATGTTGTTCCATGTGAATATACAAAGTTTCTGGTGTAGCTTGAAGTTGCAGTACAAAAGTGAATAAGATAATGTTAAATAAAAAAGGATTTAAAGTTGTTCACTGAAAATCCGTCATTAACTCAAATATGTACTTAATAAGTTATAAGCGTTTAAATTTTTTTAAATATTTTTGGTCACCCAGTATCAGTAAAGCATGAGTCCTAGAACATATCTGTTAAAAATTCCTTTTTGTAAATGGCCAATTTTCAATTTGTAATCATCTTATATATCTAGGATGGTCTTAGGTCCATGATACCTTTTTTTTAGAAAGTAGAGGACTACAACATATTAAAAAGTTAGAAAATGTAACTGAGTAAGTCCCATTTATTCAAAAGGAAACGCCCCCCTTTATTCCAAACAGTTAATTAAGAATTATCGTTTTCAGACTGGACTTCATTAAATTTAACTTGGCTCCAGCAACACTTACTCTGCCACAATATGCAACATATAAAGTTTACAAATGTGTTAATGATATATTCAGAGTATCGCCAAACCATTACAATATTCCCGATTTGTGTGGCAATAACGATAAACAACACGGTCAGTAAATCTACAAATTTAATTTTATTCTGAAAATATTTACAGTAATGTAATTTTCCTATAATATTTTTTAGTTTACATCCATATAAACCAAACCGATGGAGTAACTAAAGGTATTCAATTACAAATGACTCTTTCAAATAGAAATTATAACTCTCAGTTATTCTCGCCATCTTGGAGAATAAAAATCACACAACTGGAATGTCCAGGCAAAAGAGAAGGAATTAATTTTGGTGAAAATAAGGACGTGATTGAAGATTATCCGTCGCTGGGTGAGTAAGATTTACTTTTAATTCAGTGTTTTAATAATGATAATGAGACAATAAAAAAAGATTTATATTAAATATTTAGCAGTAACTGTCGATTCTCATTTAAGATGACATTTTCATGTAGATAATGTAAACAAAATACGATTGCTACACACCTTGGTATATTCTATTTTAGTCTTGTAGAATCTAGAATAAGATATGGTAAAACTTCCTGTTGGACTATCGATAAGACGCATCTAATAACTTGGAAGTAATTCAAATGAAAATAATAAAAACAATATATAATAAGAAACCAACTTATCCGACAAATTTAATATTTACTGATAGTAGCATAATGGATAGAAAATTGTATATTTTTATTGATTTACATTAAAAAAAATAACAAGCATTTTACACCACATACAACATAAATATCAAACTAGAAGTAAAACACAAAAAAGTTCAAACCTATTTAGTTAGTAAATCTGTAGGATAGAGATCTTCTCGATGCATATAACGACCCTTCCAATCATATCTTCTCAAGGAAGTGTAGGATTTATAGTACGGCTTCAAGTTAGGTATATCTCCTTCTTCTATTTGATATGCTCCTAGATATAGTGGCCTCTGGATTCTGAAGTGCTATCTTCTTTTACTACTCTTAGTTTACTAAGGTGTCCTTTGAGTCGACAATACCCAGTAAGGATCCCTATTACAATGTGTAACCTGTTCTTGCTCAGGCAGATACCGGCTTCCGATCTTTTCTGGTTATATTCTCACAGAAGTATCTTAGCCTGTCTTGGTCCCAAGAGATGGTTCCAATTATAAGTTCTTCTACTGCCCAATTCTTTTTTAATCTCTGTTGAATTATATTCAACAAATTACATTTATCGTTGCACTCAATATTGCATCCAATATACATTAAGCTTCTCGACTTTTTATTACTCCTCGAGACGTCTCTATAATCGACACTATCTTGGCCGATAAGGAAGGTCACCGATAAATTACTGCGTCACAGGCGTCATCTACTTCTCAGCCACTTATCATTGGTCAGCGCTACAGGCGCCATGCACTTTTCTTTAGTTAACGTCATCCTTCAAGGCCAGTCATCGAGACCACATGCGTTTTCCGTGATAAGAGGCGACGCTCTGGCCGCCATTATGTAACATAAACTTTTCTCTCCGTTAACATGGCTTAAAATAACAAAATTCCTAAAGAAATGCTGTAAATAATGTTATATATAGTAAAAATAAAATCATTCCATTAGTGTTTAAAATAAAAGTGTTCAATCAGAAGGTAATCTTTTAATCCAAGTTCTACAGCTTCCAGGCCTATGGATGGCACAGGTATTTCATACTTTCTCATTTCTACAGTTCATGAATAGTTAAGGATCAAATATCGGTCCAATCTTGTACATGACACGAGGCACCCGGTAGAAGCTTGTATATTGATCAAACGGCGACAATATTCTCTAATATTGTGTTACTGCTGATACCTCAGAAAGGCTTAGGTCTCAGAAAGGTTGTTTGGGTCCCTTTCCTTGCGAGACTACCAGCAATCTCGTTATCCTTTACCCCGTTATGTCCCGAGACCCAAGAGAAAGTAACTATAATTTTCCGATTTTTTAGGCATCTACAGGCCATTTTTAGCTGATTATGTAAGAGCTCAGCACTTCTCTTAATGATAAACTGGATACACTTCTCAATGACGTGAATTTCCCCTTAGAAGATGGTTGGGTATTTTCCAAAAAATTTCAGAGTTCCTGTGATTTTAGGCCCATACACTCCTATTCCATTACCTTCTATGGTTTTAGAATCATTCGTATACCGTATGTTTTTCGATTGCAATAATGATTTTTTTCTTTTGTACGTTCTCTTTATAATTTAAGTACTACTTTGAATAGAATAATTGGAATTATTCGCTCGTACCCGTCAATTTTTATTAAAATAGAATTATTTTATAACATAAACAAATATTCCCCTCTTACTATACCGTAATAATATATCATATTTTACCTTTTAGCTCCTTTGGGTGCTTTGCAGTATTTTACGGAGCCCACTGGTTATATAAAATCGTTTGGATTTGATGGATCGGTAACAAATCAATTAAGTTATACTTACGGACAGGAGTATGCTATTGCTTTTAAACGAGAAATTGGTGTGTGCGGCATAAAGTAAGTTTAATTTTTTTGATTATACGAATTTATGTTTCTAATAACAATAGTTATTTAGATACCAGGGGCAAAGCCGCCCACTTTTTTGGATGGTATATACCAAACGTTTATTAAATAAATTAAGTGTTTTTCTTTACACCAATTCATAAAACTGCAGTATAGTTTTTTATACAAAACAATTCAAATGTTTTATAGCGATGTTTTAAAGCTATTTTAATAGTATTGCGTTTGGTGTATATTGAATTGCCTACCTTCTGATCTTCGCAATCTTTCTATTAGTTATTGTTTATAAATAGATTTTAATAAGGTAAAAGTTGAAAAGTCTTTTGGTAGGTAGAGAGGGGGTGAACGTCAAACCACGTCGGGCGGCTTCGAGAATTTCACACTAATGTTTACCTGCCAGTGTCGTTTCATAGAATAAGTAATTTTAAATTGTTATCGGCGGAACCGGACAATCGCATGTATTTATGGACTATAAATAATTATTAAACATGTATTATAATATTCAAATTATAATTTTACAAAATTTCAACAGCTATTCACAATTTATTAAACTATTTGCTCGAAATTGTTATTAACATCTATAAAATAATTTTGTACGCCAATGTATCGCGTCCACTTCGGGGAGATCCGCTGCCAACCTGTCAATTTATGTGTATAAAGTGGGAGAACTGGCAAAAGCATTTCCAACTTTTACTTCTGTTCTAAGATCTATGTATATTGTGAAAATATGGTAGAAATTAATTTTTATTTACTAAATACCACTAAATAATATATGTCAATGTACATGCTTCTTGCATAATATAACAGTATTGAGCTTCAATCACTGATCTGTAATATTTACTTGATAGGATATATTACATATTATAATAGTGATTTCAATTTGTGTTCGAATATTTACTAATAAGAAACTCAAAGTGAGTAATTAGAATTCACATTAAACTGTTCATATTTGTATGCAAATTTTTTAGAATTCTGTATTGTATTTATAATGCCTGAATAAAATTAGGTGAAAGTTTTTTAAATTTTGTCGCACCAGAGCTTTATAAGGTTGTTACTTATTAATCTCAGTTCGAGAAAAATGTCTATTTTGCGGCGAGATTTCGAAGGCCTACTTTAGATAGTTATCGTAGGAAAAAACATTTAACCTTGCATGTTCTTACAAATATTTTATTTCAGGTTTAGCCCGGATTACGTATATTTACCATATCAAAATCCTTCTGGAGCCTACTACACAGACAGTAACTGCAAGCACTATTTATTTGTTCCTGAACTTTATTTTGACAATAAAAATTCTTACTCTAACGCTTTAGTCTCTAAAGTGTGTTTGTCAGAACCGGAAACTTTTAGATGTAAGTATATAAAAACTATGTTTCTACAGTCATTAAAAAGGTAAGTTTTTTAATCTTTTTGCTTGTATAAACTTTTATCATCCATTTTTTTTTTTTTTTTTTTTTTCGATGCGACGTAGAGTTTAAGATACACACTGTAAACGGCGATTTAGGTTTACATAATTTTTCTCATACTGTACATATTTGTATCGCAGGTTCCTTATTTTGTCAGCATTCCTAGTAGGATATTCGTAGACATTTGAATTTTTATTTATATTTGATTCAGAATCATGTATGGATAATAACTAAAAATAAAGAATTTATAAGTGCAGATAGTGGCATAATTCCAAGTTTTAAAAATAACGGCTTGCAAAGAAAGTCTACACAATAGATTATTCTGATAGCTTGATTTAGTAGTGTAAATACTCTTACAGAATCCTTGTTGGATGGAAGATGGTGTATTGGATTTTATTTGTATTCAATTTTAGATAGTTTGCTAAGAACCAGTATTCTGCTTTGTCAGTGTTTGATATAGTGGTATTGACATGTGATACTGCAATCTTATAAATTAAAATTATTCTTTGCGACTTTATTTTCTTCTCAATCGCTGGCAGAAAAACCCCAGATAGCACAAATGCGTCTTATGGACGTTCTAAAAACATCCCGCTTGGACATTCAGGACATCCTTAAAACGTCCATTCCACGGACGTGGTCGTCTTATGGACGTCTTTGGAACGTCCATTTTTAATAATCAGGATGTCTTAAGAACGTTCATTTAAGAACATTCCATGCACATTTTCAAAAGCTCAAATGGAGAATAACCGGATGTTTAAGGAAATTAGTGAAAATGATGTATAATTTCAAAAAAAAAATTATTTATAAGCAAATACCCTATGAATAATAAAATTATTAAAAATTAATATGAATTCACTAACCTTTTAGCTTTGTAGTATTCACTGGACAACTTCCAGCTATCTCAGAGATAAAAATAGTACAAACTGCAAAAAATTAATATTAATCAACCACAAACTCACAGAGTCGAATCACAGTCAAATGGCGGAATGCTAGAACTTATACTCGTATAATAAGTACATACCATCGAATCATGAACATTGAATACCATGTTTTTTCTTTTCTATATAATAAAACCTGGGCCCTGAAAATATTTCAGTGATTGAATATAAATAATAATAAAAAATAATAAAATGTCACTTGTCAATAATGTCCCTTTCTCACATACTTTGATTACTATACGGTCCTCTTCTGCTTCCGGAATTGTCGGTTTAGTCGTTTTAACCTGTCAGATTAAAACAAGAAAACCGAACATTCCAAAGCAGAAGCGGATGATTAAAACGCACCTATTAAAAATATTACGCCAAGATGTAGGCAACACGTAATAAGGGATCAAAATTGCGGAGTTTTCTATCTCCTTTTAAAAGGCACTCAGAAAGCTGCGCAGTGCGACCATTCCCCGTATAGTAAAAGAAAATCAAAGTATGTGCCCTTTCTTGTAATGGCCTTTAGTATTTATATTATCTCATTTTATGTGTTGTTTATATCAGGGGCGGGTCGTGACCAAAATTTTGGGGGTTCACAGTAGCAGAAGTTTTTTCATACATCTGTACTGATACCTATGTTCTGTCACTGTGAACCACCTGACGAGCCGCCACTGGTTTATATAATATAACCAAATAATAATACAATGCACGTAGAATTGACGTCCTACGGATATCTATTTCTTGACGTCCCGAGGATTTACTAAACTGGACATACTTAAAACGTCTAGAATTGGTTCTGGACGTACAGACGATAAATCGACATGTAATGGACGTCCTTAGGACGTCCTATGCTATCTGGGATACTAGGGGAACCCACGATGCTAAATGGGGATTTACTCGAGTGTCGTGGAGATCTATTGGATTTTGAAGATTAGATGATAGAAAGAAAAAAGTTATATGATGTATACCCTTTCCCTTACCTTATCTTAAAAAAATCTAATTTACCTAACTTGTGCAGCCTGGAGTCATTGCGAATTGATTCGCAAAAAATGATACATAAAATGAGAAAATTTTAAAAATTTTACTAATCTACCCAACCTGCGCGAGAGCGATCGTATAATTTTAAATGGTTCCAGGCACAGGTTAGGTAAATTAGTTGTTGTTTTTTGTTTAATTAATTAATTTATGTAAAAACAATAGCGCTAGTTTGAAACGCGCTATAGCTTTCGGTGGTATTTTGTTAGCCATTTTAGCCATTTGAGTTCGATGCTCTTTCAATAGTCACTATTTTAAAAGGCGCTCTTTTATTAAGGAGCTGCACATACGAGTATTTGAACGATTTACGCGGCAAAATTATTTTTTGGTCTATATCGATTCTAAACGATATTAATAAATTAAACAAAGGTTTTAATTTTTAATTAACATATATTTAATAATAAAAAATATAGATTCACAATTTTATCTAATAATATTCGTATAAACTTTCATCTTCGCTTTCTGAAGAATTACCAGCTTGAAGCGGCTTTGCAGACATTAATAAATTAATTGTTTCTGGCAAAAAAAGACTTAATTTTTCTTCTTTTCACGTTCCTAATGCTACTTAAAAGGCGATTAAAAATATCCCCTGTTTTAATTTTCTCTAGAGAATTTTCGCGTGAAGTCTTGGCGGTATGAGCGGAAATCATTCTTATGTGCTTCCACCGGCTTCTTCAGACAGCTTCCCAACAGGCAGCAATGCAGTTTTTATTATAACTGCACCATAAATAAGTATTTTGTGCATCGTTGGTGTCATTGGGTGCCAAGGGTACAGCTGCAAATATAAGCGAGCAGCATCTAATGCGTATTTGTCCTATTTTTCCGGATCAATTTTATGTCCGTTCGAAATTGTTTCTAGTATGACCTTTAATTTATAAATTAGGTCATAACTAATGCCCGTAATTTCGGAAGCCACTTTTGGGTCTTGAAAAAATCTTAGACTCGTGTTTCCAACATTTGTGTTGCCAAAAGTTGCCTTTGGTATATCCACCAATGAATCAGTTTCATTGCAAAATCTTTTCTAGATTTCCAGTTTTCTTTCTTTCTTTCTAAATATTTTTTTCCGTTTCTGTTTTGCTCTATCTGTATTTTGTCACTGGCAATTTATAAGCCAAGTCAGTGGCGTATATAGGAATTACTTTTGGGGGCCATACGAAAATATAAATTTGCATTTAATTATATATTAGTATAAATCTACAAAAAAAAAATAACGTTACACTACAAAGAAATCTGAAATTAAAATTGAATACAACTGTCGAAGTTATATCTTGCTTCAAAAATTAAGGTTTCTATTTTTCCTCGCGAAGTCGTCTACAACTTCGTCAATATTAATCTCAATGTTTCGATGTATTGACATTAAAGCAAGCCCTACTAGTCTATCTTCCCCTGTTCTATTTCTAAAGTAAGTTTTTAATCTCTTGAAAGTCGAGAAACTCCTCTCTGAAGAAGCTGTGCTTACTGGCAGTACTGCTAACATAACTAATAATTTATTTATATTCGGAAACATATCTTCTGTACACTCTTGTAGAGCCTCCACAGCAGTTCTTATTTGTTTTTCAAAGCTGGCACATTTCATCTGCCATAATTCGAATTCAGTACGCAACATTGATTCATTGTTAGTGTTTAGATCATCAGAGTATTTTTCAATTGCAGGCAATAAATGCTTAAACTCACTAGTCTTTGTATTGACTGGGATTAACGTGTCCAAAGACTTGATTATTTCTTTCTGCCCTAAAAAACGTTCCTCAAGTGAGCGTATTAGGTCTTCAATAATTGGAATAACTCTATAATACTGTTCTGCATTTTCAGCCTGATAATTCTCGCCATGCTTTTGGGTGCCAACACGTCTCGGTAGGCGTATTTCAATGTTAAGTTCTTCTGCTAACTTAACAGTTTTTGTGAAAATTTGTTGAAACTCTTTTTCGGCATTATTTCTTATGTTTTCTAAAGCATCAGATGCATGGCCCACTCGTTCTAAAGCAACCACCAAGTTTATGTTTTATGATTGCAGATATTCCGAAAGTTTGTATGTAAACGCCAAATTTCTCTCCATTATATTTAAAGTTATTATTACAGATTCGTCGTAATACCTCACGCATAGAGAAAATTGCTCTTGTTTAGAAATATCAGTGGTTTCGTCCGCAAAAACACTGAAATATTTCGTAACTTGGACGCGTTCTAAAATTTTTCTTTGAATTTGAGAGCCTATTATTGAAATAAGTTGATTTTGAATTACTAGAGATATATACATGCTTCTGCCTCCTGATGATAGGATATGTTCTTTAAAACCAGTAACGCCACACTTAGCACGGAATCTACACAAGGTTCTGAAATTGCCATCATTAGATTCTGGAGCTTCCAAAGTCAATCTGCCAGAATCTCTGTGACCCATAAGACCTATTTCTTGTTGTCCACAAAGAATTAGTGTTTCTACAATTTTTTTTAAGTTATCTCGATTTTTTGGCATTTTTCCAAATTCTTCTTTGACAAAACTGTCAATATATCATTATTATGCTTATTGGTTGCTATGAAATTGTCGTATTTTACTGCACAATTTAAGTGACCATTAAAATACTCGATTGCGTCTTTCCATTTCGTAAACGGGACAGAAACCAGTGATTTGGCCCTTTTGTGAGAACCTTTGCCAATTTGTTCAAAGTTGTGACAAAAAAGACACAATATTTACAAAATGCTCCACGTAACTGGAGAAAATATGCAAGCCACTTATACTTAAGCAGCCAATTAAATTGAAATCTTCTTCTTTTTTTGTTGCCAATTACTTGAAAACTCTCTTCAAATTCAAAATTTTTATCCGGAATACAAAGTTTCTCCATAATATCAAACTTAACATAATCTGTTAAGTTTGCTTTACCAACGTAGTTGCCGATATCAAACATATTTGTCACAGCTAAAATTTGTTACCATTACTGGAATTATCTCACATAATACTAACAACCATTTTAAAGATTAAGTAAAGGTGAATTATTGATTTTAAATTTATCATTATATTTATCTAAATTTTAACAATAATGGTTAAAGTAATTAAGTAGTTAATGAGTTTAAATAAGTTTAAAGTCAGAATACTAAGAATCTGTTAAAATAATTAGATAAAGGTGAATTACTGATTTCTAATGGCTCATTTACAGATAATCTAAAATCTACATTCATTTCAAGTGTTTGTAGATAGTGCCTTATTTTCTATATGTAATACTAAAAATTATCACTCAAAGACTGGTTTTCAGTCAAAATATGTTTCGCAAATGTATTAATTTTTATTTTTAATATAACTATTTTATTGTGCAAAACACTTGAAAATCATATAAAAACTAAAGGCAAAATTAATTGTATAAAAATTAAATTTTGGTGGTTGTCAAAATATGTATATTGGTCAAACGCAGTATTTTTAAAAAGTGTCATCCGAGGCGTCATCTGAACATCATAATAGTTATAATAACTTCACATTTGCCAATCATATTTTGGCTGAAAACCACTCTTTTAGCGATAATTTTAAAAGGTTACATATAGGAAATAAGGACACTAAAGTAAAAACTTCAAATAAATAATTTAAAAAAATTCAGCTTATTTGCTAAATAACAGTCAATCAAAAAACCGTAATTCACCTGCTTTTCGTAAAAAGCTACCATATTTTGATTTTTCTCCTAGTAATAAGTAATAGATGTTTTCGACAAAAAAAAATGCTGAAAAAGTAATTATTCGTGGTTTTCCGCGGCTAATTTTTTGATTACTAACTACTCAAAGCTCTAACCTTTCGTATGTAATAAGAATTATAACAGGCTATACCTTTATCTGTATTGAACTCAAATCATCGACCAAAAATATACCTGTAACTTTCTATTCACTAAGACAATCTTAAAAATGATAAAAATTATAAAAAAATAAATATTACAGTTAGTGTGTCATTACCTGCTAAACTAGGATCTATAACTTTTTTTATTTTTGAGAAAAGAATGTAAATTTATAAATATTCACTGTTTAAATTAATATTTTTTCTCGAACGCTTTCACATACACATATACCAACTAAAACAGTCAAATTCAAACTGCCAGTGAAGAAGCGGGATGCACTGAAGGAAAACTAGAGGGGATGTATAATGTGCTCTAACTAGTCCCATAACCCAGGTAGTACGTTTTTATTTAAAAATTTTGCATTTTGTAAAATTGACTTTTGGCCGCGTAGATAATTCAATACCCCTATGTGCGCTGTTTCGTTTGGGCGCAGTTTTGGCTGATGCTCTTTTTGATTCTCGCTATTTCGTACGGGCGCTTTTTTCATACTCGCTGTTTTAAGTAGGCGCTATTTTGTTCAGCGCTATTTCGTGACAGAACCGTGTGGATTATATTAAATAGTTCTTTGTTGTTGATTATTATATTTTAATTTGTACTAAGGATACAATTTCTTAAAAATTTTTGTTGTATTTAATTTCCAAATAATTCGAAATAAAGCGAAACGTCCAATAATCCATGGCAATTTTAATGAGTTTATAACTTTGTTTTAAAAATTGATGTTTTTTTTGTATTTGTTTAAAATATTTTATTTTTTTAGCGTATGCTCCAGGACCATTTTATCTATACTTTAATTCGAAACTGGCTGATTTTACCACAGACGAAGAAAAGAAACAAGGATTTAATATAAAATATCAACTATTAAGTAGATGCCCATAAAAATACATATTTAAAAAAATATTATCGTTAATTAAATTATTATATTTATATAAAAATAATCTTAAAATAAAACGTATTTAGTATATTGATGTAATTTATTTGGAAGTGTAAAAAATATGTAAAATGTACCTATATACAACAATTAACATAACAACTAATAAATTATTAACAATTATAAATAACAAAAACACATTTTACATTATAAGAATAAGTCTTGTTTATACTGGAATATGTCATAAAATTATTAAAAAATATAAAAACCTACAGAGAAAACCAAAATTATTTATCGAGGGTTTTTTCCCACAAAGGAAATAAATATGTTTGCAACCAGTTAGGCAACGTCGCAGTAAACTTTATTTATATCAATATTTATGGACCAAATTTGAAAAAGTACGACCTGTCACTTTGTAAAAAACAGACTTTAAAAATAATAAAATGGGTAATCTATAATATTAAAATTAAAAGCCAACTATGACAGGTACGCTGAGAAAAAACGCATTAACAAATAGATTTGTGAATTTAAATTAATAACTGAAAAAATTATAGGTATTCTAAAATAATGTTCATTCGTAATAATTAGTCATAATTATATTTATAGTGTTTAGGTAATATTTTTTCTCGTTACTAATGATATTTTCAAAAAGTGTAATTTTAAACATTTCAAAAATACTATTTCTGTAAAATTAAATGAAATACAATCAATGTCGTATATGTGTGTACCTAAAAATCATAATGAGCGATCCACAATTTTTTTTCTAAAGTAGGCCTTGGAAAAATTTTTGCATGTTGAAACCGGACGATTCATCTTTTTTAAAAGTCACTTTAGATTTAATTCAAAGCCGTGCCCAGTTATCACGTTTATGGCCTATTTTACAAATATTTTTGTGTGCCACTCGTTGCATTTATGGTGTTTCTCATTAATTTTTAAATTACATTTTAATAGTAGTAGTCAAAAATACTAAAGCAAAATTTTAGTTTCCTCCAAAGTTTTCAAAATATTTTAAAAATCATAATTTAACTTAAAAATTAGGTTTAATACAAAGATATATAACAAATACTGGTAATTTTTTAGAAAAATTTGTCTCTATACCGAGAATTTACCATTTAGACAGTTGATAGCCTATAATAATAAATTCCGGGTTTAAAGTAGGAATTTAATAAACAAAACCAATAACCCTTCTACCTCTTACAATAATCTTATCGACACTGATAATTTCACTGTATAGAATAGTACCTACTATACTTTAAATATATACAAAAATAACCTCATAATTTTTAATTTCTAAAAAACGGTTGTCTTCCCATGCTGTAAGTGCTCAATGGGATTCCTCCTGATTGTTTGTAACCGTCGTTTTGGTCATAATCAACATCGTAGTAGATCCCACTTTGATTCTGCAATATAAATAAAAATTTCGTTAATAAAACGTTGGCAAATTTATTGTAAATACCAAATAATAAATACTAATATATTTTCTTGTCTTCTACCGTTTGTATAGGTTTAAACTATATTCGGGATTACAAGTGATCAAAAAAATTGTTTTAATTAGACCATGAGCTGTGACTTACAAAGACATATACCTACAATTATGCCTCTCAATTAAATTCAAACAGTCAACAACAAAAAAAAAACAATAGTATACTTCTGCATGTGTGATTTTTCCCAAGTCTTACATTAGAAAACTTTTTTGGAAACATTTTTTGTTGATCACTTCATATTAATATATCAATATACTCGCAAGTATAAACTAATAGATCTAATTTAAAATCGATAAGGCCTCTGTGCGCATTACGTAGTAAATACTTATTTACATCTTAGTTCATGCAAAAGAAATTAATAAAAATATAATTGAGTTCCTATAATTTGATGTGGGCTTCCGTTTCACGATTCGACATCTTCAGGGTAGTCAATTCGATATCAAATCGTTATAGCTGTTTTTTTACATTGTTAATGAAGTTGAATAGTAAGGACATCAAAAAAAAAGGTTTATTGTTTATTATAAAAGGCCACAAAATATAAACAGACTGTTTTTTTAGCCAAAAAAGGAATCCACAGCGGTTTTCAGAAAGTTCGAAAGGACCGCTTCATATTAGCTCATTCTTTCTATGACGCAAATCACAATAATATTAAATAATAATCTTTTTATAATATACCCCACGACTATCATTATTTAATTTTTTTTAACGGTGTCATCGGCTTGAACTACTTAGTTTATTAGCCTCGTATTCTGTGTAGGCGTTGTTACTGTTTTCCAGCGTAACTTTAGGAACAGCACTGTTAATTAAAACTCAGCAGTGAATGGTCGAGTGGGGAATCCTACCTATGTATTAGAATTAATATTTAATTTATTAAATTAAATAAAAATCTCTGCCACCGGCGGGATTCGAACCTGAGGCCCTTCGATCTCAAAGTCTGTAACCACTGACTCAACCCACCCTCTGACTCTATCATTATTATTTGCCATGGCGCTTCAAGACAACTTATAGATGGTGTCATTTAACTTATAGATGATGAAACACAGGAAAACCCCACCCATCAGAATAAAAATTAAATAAATGGATTATGGATAATTAAATTGACTTTTAGTTTTGTTGTGTGGCCTTTAAAACTCATAGTAGTTAGAATGCTTCATTATTTTGTAGAATTTCCAAAGATTTCCGAAAATTGCTTTTAATAATTCAGGTTACTGCGGGGTGCTGGGTAACATTGCTCCCTCTTCTAGTACCGAATAACTTGATTACTGAGACCTGGTTGGAGCCAACGGGGATGATCTGGACCACGCTATAGCACTAATTTTTTAATGTAAAACCCTGGGTTTATTTCCCGCTTACAGCTGAATGCGGTAGATCAGGTCGTTGATTTTCTTGAGGACGGTGTAGTGGTCTTCCCAGTTCCGTTGCAGTTTCCGATAAAGTCCTCTACGGCTCTTGGGATTATACAGCCATACTAAGTCGCCCCTCTCAAAATGTATCCCTGCATGTCCAGCTTTCAGTTGACTTTTAGAAATTCCGGAGCGAATCCGTAGACCTTTTTTTCTGCTATTCCATCAATCACATTTTTTACACCAATCATCTACATCCCGTCGGCAATTGACCCAATAAAATATTTCCAGAACTCGTACCAGTATCCTTTTAGTACCAAAATGTCCTTCTAAACTGCTGCTATGAAGTTCCTTCAACAAACTTCTGACATGTGAATTCGGCAGTACCAACTGATGGACTATATGTACTCCATCGAAGCTCTTCCACTTCCGGTGCAATAGACCATCGTGAAGATACAGGGAATCCCTGTACTAGTACCCTTTAATATATCCACTATACCTGACTATCTCTTTCAAGTAGATCTGATTCTATTTTTAAGCCATTTTCGGGCAACCTTCAAGTCATTGTCTTTTCGTTGACCCTTTTCCAGGCTTTTAAGGGTGATTTCGTCTTCGTCATCCTCTGGCTTGATAATAGTCGCTCGAACACTAACTTTTTCAGTCAGTTCCTCTCGTTCCTCGATCATTTTACGGTCCCGGCATTGTCGCTCCAAACAGGATCGCCTGAAAATAATATCTGCGTTTTCTCTTCGATGCACTCACTACTTCCTGATTATTGATAGAAAACCGGCTAGGTGTGGTAGGCATATCTACTGTAATTATTTCTTGTTAGACTTCGTAACTGGCTTCGGGAGATCGATCTAACTGAATTTATGTTCTCATTCCCCGCTTCTAGTTTTATAGAACGAGCCCTGCTTCTGCAGGTTCTTTGAAGGTGTCCAATTCTGCCGCAATTGAAGCATCTTCTGCTTTTATTTTAGCTGTTTCGTTGCATATTTTGCAGGATGTTTAGGATTTGTAAGATTGGAATAGTATTAGTATTGCTGAGATCTAATTTCTCTCACTTTTGCGCGAGAAGATCTATATATGAGTTTTGTTGCTCTATATTCCTGGTCTGCAATCAGTTACTCCCTCAGCGTCTTGTGGTGCTATAGCCGAAGAGTTTGTTGCATTTCCATAGCTTGGACCTAAGTCGAAATCAACGATTTCACTAAGCTTAGGAAAATATGCAACAGTGTTCCAGGCTGAGCTAATAGCCATACAACACTGTGCAAGAGAAATATTAAATCAGCAAGTATCAGGCAAAACTATTGCCATATACTCTGATAGCCAAGCAGCTCTAAAGGCAATTCTCTCACCAGAAATCAAATCACGACTGGTGAAAGACTGTCTAGAAGACCTGACAGAGCTAAGTAGTCAAAATAAGGTGACCTTAGCCTGGGTTCCAGGCCATGAGGGATATCAGGGCAACGAAAAGGCCGACGAATTAGCCCGAGAAGGCTCAGATTGTCATTTAGTCATTGTGCGAATGAAACGTTAGAAAATAAACTTCAACTTGACATAATATACACGGACTTTAGTAAAGCCTTTGATCGTGTGAATCACGATGTTTTGTTGGAAAAAATTTATGAATTTGGTTGCACCCAAAGTGCCATGAATTTATTTAAAAGTTATTTAAAAAACAGATATTTTCAAGTTAGATATGATGGGAACACGTCGGGAAAATTTCACGCTGCTTCAGGCGTACCTCAGGGTTCAAATTTGGGTCCCCTGTTTTTCCTATTATTTGTCAATGACATTACGAAATGTATTAAATTTTCTAAATGCCTATTATTTGCAGATGATCTCAAAATATATAAACAAATACAAACAGTTCGTGACTGTGTGGCTCTTCAAAAGGACTTAGATAATGTTTATGATTGGAGTGTCAAATTTAAATTAAATTTTAATATAAAAAAATGTTGTGTCATGACTATGACCAGACAGAAAGTCTCAGTCTTATTTGACTATCAAATGATGGACAAATCTTTAGAAAGGGTTCACGAGTTCAAAGATTTAGGTGTAACTTATAATAATAAATTTTCGTTTCAAAAACACATTGCTAATACAGTTAAATCTGCTAATCGAGTTCTTGGATTCGTAATGAGACAAACATATCCTTTTTCTAATATAAATTTAATTAAACTTTTATATTTTACATTGGTAAGACCTAAACTAGAATTTGCTTCAATTATGTGGACAGGAGAATGTCAAACATCTCTACAGGAACTTGAGAAAGTACAAAACAAATTCTTAAGGCACCTTTATTACAGAAAATATAATAAAAGAGCGGATTATAACTCTGTAAGAACTACACGACTTCGTACTGAATTTAATATAGTGTCATTAGAGAGTAGGCGTAAAGTTACATCTTTATTAATTTTACATAAAATCTTAAATAATACAGTAAATTCCTTTGAGTTGCTATCTTTAATCACATTTAATGTACCATCACGAATAACACGCAATATGCCAATGTTTAATATACCATTTGTCAGTTCTACTTACCGTGCTCCTCTCCTAGAAATGCTTCGCTTAGGAAACAATATTAGTTATATATTGAATATCGACTGGAACCTTCCTTATAATAAATTTAAAAATGTAATTGTGAAATACATATATAACTTGTCTGTATAATAACAAAATAAAATAATGTAAAAATAATACTCTACATATCACCATCTTATTTAAGAAAGTAATGGCTCTAAACGAAAAATTTATTTCCTAAATTTGTTAAAATATTTTTATTTTTAGAAGTGTCATTTTTTGTTTTGAATAATATAGTCCATATTAGTTGGTTAAACTTTGAATTGTTATCCCCTTTAGTTTAGTTTAAGTTAGTTTGGATAATGTAAATTTAGTTTTAGCTACTAATTAAGAATTAAAATTGTACAATTTATGTATTATATAATTTGTAAAATAACTATCCTTGTAATAAGGCCAGTAGGCCTGGTTGGGTAGAATAAATAAATAAATAAATAAATAAATAAGGCCATGACAGGCCCTGAACCCTTTTGTGGAGTCGCTAAGGCATTGTGCAAGGCATCCATTAAACAATGGATGCAAAAAGAGTCTCAGGAATGGTGGAACAACTATCCAAGACTGAGACAGGCCAAACAGTTCATCAAGGAACCATCGGCCAAGTTTACGAAAGACCTACTGGATCAAAAACGTCAAATCGTTAGAATAACAGTAGGCCTTCTTACTGGACACTGTCGCCTCAAAAGGCACATGAGTGTCATAAATCCAGCAGAAGAAGCAACTTTGTGCAGGTTCTGTGAAGAAGAAGAGGAAACATCATTCCACGTCCTGTGCCAATGTGAAGGCTTGGCTGGAATGAGGTTTCTAACATTGGGCGAAGAAAAGCCAATTGCATGCAACTACATGCGGGAGCCACTGTCAAAGCTACTAAGTCTAATAAAAAAGACCAGGCTAGACGACATACTCTAAAACAAACGGAGTCCCACAATAGATCTGAAAAGGTCGCGGTGGACAAGGACAAATAACGTCCAACTCCTAATCTAATCTAATCTAATCTAATTTCCATAGCTTGTAGTCCTCGCAGCGACACTATCAACGAAGCCCTATCTCTTTTTCAGCCCTGCCATTGGTTCTAGCTGCAGTTTCAAATTGGAGAGACGATACGTTTCCCATATTGCCTGACCGTCAAACGTGGGTAGCTTAATGTTCTCGCTAGTATGGTTTTGTGAAACTGGGTTTTAAATATGGCTTGGTTCGGTTATAAACGCGGGCGAGGTAGTGGTTGCAGCGTCACTAATGCTTACCGATGTTAGGTTTCGAATTCTTCTTTCTAACGCAACTATTTCAGTTCTAATTTGCCTTTCTACTCTACTTTGGCCTTTTCTTGTTGCTCTAAATTATTTTTTAAATTCTGCTGCTGCTGTTCCAAATTGGTATTCAATTCTCTTTTTATTGCTCTAAATTAGTTTTTAAATTCTGTTTCTGATGCTCTAAATTAGTTTTTAATTGTTCTTGTTGCGCTAAAAGGTCTTAGGATGACCAACCTCTTGTTTGAAGGTTTTCTGGATTTGTAGTAAACCATTCATAATTTTAACCGCTTCTTTTCTATGCCTCTCTTCCTTTTCCTCCTCTTCTTCCTTCCTGCTCCTTTCCTCTTCAAAAACCATGCTGGGAGATCTGAAGTATCCATATCTGTTTCGTACTCACAGGATCTATTATTTACCATGAAATTTTATTTTGGATCCCACCGCTGTCACCAATGTTACGCTGGTTTTTGGTATTTTAATTTATTTTAACTCAACTTTTACAATTCACCACATGAACGATTAACCTCTATCGTAAAACTAAAATTCTGACGTCAGGATCATCGACTTATATAGCTCGCTTAAACCTTCTTAAACCTTCTTGAACCTTTCAGATGTTTCTTTACAAGTAATGACATTTATAGATATTTCTAGACATTTCTAAATATTTATAGACATATCTAGACATTTCTAGACATTTCTAGACATTTATAGACATTTCTATACATTTCTAGACATTTCTAGAAATTTCTAGACATTTCTAGACATTTCTAGACATTTCTAGACATTTCTAGACATTTCTAGACATTTCTAGACATTTCTAGACATTTCTAGACATTTCTAGACATTTCTAGACATTTCTAGACATTTCTAGACATTTCTAGACATTTCTAGACATTTCTAGACATTTCTAGACATTTCTAGACATTTCTAGACATTTCTAGACATTTCTAGACATTTCTAGACATTTCTAGACATTTCTAGACATTTCCAGACATTTCTAGATATTTCTAGACATTTCTAGATATTTCTAGACATTTCTAGACATTTCTAGACATTTTACAGATATTTCTAGACATTTCTAGACATTTCTAGACATTTATAGACATTTATAGACATTTATAGACATTTATAGACATTTCTAGACATTTCTAGATATTTCTATACATTTCTAGATATTTCTAGACATTTCTAGACATTTCTAGACATTTCTAGACATTTCTAGTCATTTCTTGACTTTTCTGTTTTCTTTTTTATTCGTTCTTATACTTATGACAACGACAACCCACTAAAGAGTGATGGTTGACATTCCCCTTCTTCTTTGATTCGTACGTTTCCACATGCTACTGCAGGCTGCTGCAGAGACCTGAGTAACAATATTTTCACGAGGCTAAATTATACATTTATCATTTATAAATTATTTTAGAAGATGGAAATACTTTGCTGAAAACGTACTAGTGGTGGAGCGTTCGATGACGCTGTCTTCAGGAAGCTAATGTAGAAAATGCTAATAGAAAAAAGTTTGTTGCCATATTGTGGTGGAAAACCTTTAAATTGGAAAATTAAATTGTTATAACAATACGTTGTATTTACGCAAGGCACTTTTTTTGTGATAGAATATTATTAATGAAAATTGTTTTCTGCAATCAATCTGGCGGTGAAATGCCCTGTCACCAAATAAGAAGTTACTGTGAGCCAAATTCAAGACGGTTGCAGCAAACTCATTTATATTAACTTTTGATATGAATAATACCTATCTAAAAGTTTCAATGTTTTCAAGTTTGCGCTTCTATGCATTTTCTACACAGGCTTTTAAAACGTCAAAGGCTTCATCGCTGCAACTGTTTCTATGTTCTACAAGTCATGAATGAAGGAAATATTTGAAATTTTACCTTTCGCAAATACCACACTTAAAAATGTCACTGGCTCCCCTACCAATACTATTAAACGGAAAAAGAAAATGACATTTGCGAATGTGTAATTGAAACAACAATTTTTTATGATTTTAAGCGGAAATAGAATTTGCGCATGGGTAATAGAGATCGTCAATAACGGGATAGGTCCAGTGTAAACATCAAGCACATAATGTTAGGTACAAAAGGTAATAAGATGTTAAAAAAAATGTATATAACACAAATCAAGTTCATCCTTGAGCAAAATGTTAGGTTCTCGATTGGATTTAGTATCCGTAGCCAAGGAAAACCTAAATCTAATCAAACACAATATCGAGGACGTGCCATAAAAGAGTACGCTATTATCTACAATTCTGGCATATTTGGTTATACCAGCCCAAGGTTTAAATGGCAAATTTAATTTGGCAATTTTGTTCTTATTTAGGGTTTATTTACTTGCGAGAATATTTTGTAGAACGCAAATTTCCCTTATATACAGTTTTATTTTTAGTTATTCATTAGGTAGGATGTTACAATTCTAAGATCAAAGGTTTCAACATGGATTGCGACTACTGTTGAGTTAGTTCTTTATACTGGAATTATATAGATACTACTTAAATAGTCTTATGATAATAAAAAGTAATTTTTGTTAAATTGATATTGATTTCCAACTCAACTATACTTACAGCAATTGAAGCATTGCTTCTACTCTTCGGTCTTGGTACTTGGAAGTTTCTTCCTAAAAGATCTGCCTTATCTTCTTCTTCACTAGAACTGGTATTATCCAGGTGCCTGGCGCTTGCAATACTAGCAGCACGTGCAGCCATCTGAGCTTGTAGAGTGAGTCTGGGCAAAGGTACTGGGGGAAGAGTGCCACCATGACCATGCATGGACATAGTTCCAGTCATTGGGAGACTAGGATATCCAAATAAAGCTGAAGAAGGGCGAGTTGGGCCGGTTAAACCAGGTTCCGGCTAAAAATAGATCAAATAATTAAATTGGTTTCACTTTTAACAAACATTTTTTAAAAATCTCCGTTAAATGTCATTTTAGTGACATTTAAATGTCACTGAAAAGTCAATTTTACTGCCTAGGCGTTTAATAGTTTATTTTGAAAGAAGAAAATGTTTCGCCTGAGTTGTGAACAAATAATTATATGCGCCCGTGGTAAAAGGGTTTTTTTGCAATTTATTGTTTTCTATGTCCGCTTACCATTCGTTACTTTTTAATGATTGAAATGTATTGCTACCTCGTAAACCGTTGGTAACATAAACTTTGGTTAAATAAGGAAAAAGTTGTATATTTCGCTGCCCATTCTAAAGTTATTATGAAAACCAAAATATCAGGCTCGGTTTTCGAAATATTCGAAATATTTGAATATGTACCAATGTTAATCAGCCAAATCATTTTAAATTCATTGCTGAATATAACGATTTAACAATATTTCGAAAGTTTTGAACATTTTGAAATTCTCAGCTCAAAGCTTACTATATAAATTCATCAGGGTGTTATTGTAGTTGGTTCCCTATTCATATATCTGAATACCAATGTACCTTTTCAATTTTCACGGCTCATGAAGCCAATGATGGAGTTCTCTTGGAGGATCTTCAACCCCTTGTCATACAGTAGCTTACTTGTACCAGAAAGCCACCCATATGGAAAGGTAAAGTTAAGGTTGTAGCAAAAGTATCCTCTACAAGCCAACGTCACATCTTTTAATTATCCTTTCCATAATTCGAGGTTTTTTTAATTATATATTTTTCCGTTGACTTCAAATGGTTCATATGTTTTTTTTCTGCAGAGAGAGGTTAAAGGAATTCAGGTTTTCCAAAATGCCAGTTTATTTAGAGTACGGCATCAGCAAAATATTCTGCATCTTTATATCCTTCTCATTCAAGGAAAATAAAAATTTCTTGCCGCAATTTAAAGGTACGTGATAAAACATTATCATGAGAGCCATCGTGCTCTGCTATAATAGTACAATAAAGACGAGTATTTGGCTCCCATATCTTCACACAATTTTTTTTTAAATCTTGCTTCGAATGAACAAGATATAAATGTTACCATATTAACCACTCATTCTAACACCTGATTCAGTGCAGAACTCAGATGCCTAGACTCAAGCCATATGTTTTATTCTCCGAACAGTTGTGTTATTGGACAAATATACTTTTAAAAGCCTGTTTCCAGCAGACTCAGCAATCATGAAGTCCACTATATCCTATATCTACAGCAGTCGGTAGAATAAGTTGACGATTCTGTAAGCCACCTTGTAAGAAGCTTTGTTTGGTATTGATGCAGTCTTAAGAATGTATTTTTTCGTTGTTTCTCGCACTTATTCATCACAGTTATTTATCACAGTTATTTGTCACAGTTATTTACCGCAGTTATTTCTCACAGTATAAAAAATTAATAACTGTCAACGTATAAAAATCATTTTAATTTCCTAATTAGTAGATAAATGTGTCACTAATATAATATAACCCACAACGTATGAAAAATTGATCTTGAATGAATTTAACGCTATAATTGCTTAGCAATTAAGATTAAGAAATTAAATACAATTATTTACCGCATAATGATTCGCCTGAGCCATGACATCAGCAATTTGGGCCCATCTAAGTCTGTCTTCAAGTGTCAATTGATAAGGAGGAGCTCCAACAACAGGAGTTTTAGCAGTATTGCTAGCTGTCGCCATGTATCCGAACACTGGACTTCCTACTGCTGCCTTCTGCTCCCTACTCCAACGACGACTACGATAAAAGAAATAAAAAACCAATTAAATGATACTATGGGAAAATGGAGATAGTTTTCTCTTTATACTTAATTATTGAGACATATACTATATTAGAAGTATAAAATTTTGAAAAATAGTTCTTTAGTGTTTAACACATTCTTTTAAATAATGACGCTTTTCTAATTTTATTATTATACTAGTGGGTAGAGTTTTAGTGGGTATGAACCCATACAGCACACATTATTTCAGAAATGTTTCAGAAATATTTCAAACGTTTCAACATTTCAAACACAAGGTTCTAAAATATTTTAGTTAAATATTTCACTGAAAATGTTTCTGAAACATGGTATAAATATTACACAAAAGTTACTAAACGGGTATGTTAATAAAGAATTTCTGATTTGTAAGAAGAAGATGGGTTATGTAGTTATGGTAGTTATTTTATTTCATCCTATGTCCAGCCTAAATAATTAGAGGTTTTAGTAATCGGTATTTGCCATTTCCTTTTTTTTTTTTGTTATTTATGCGTTGTGCTGTTGTTATATGGGAAGCAGAATATGTGTTTATAAATTGAGGCGAGTTTACAGTTTACTACAGAAATAGTACTTGTTTAGGTTAGGTTTATTTACTTTATCTCATTTTTGAGACGAGTGACGCCATTTCGTTTATCAAATTTACAGGTAGTTTTGGTCATATTTTTATCTAAATATTTGTTGAGGCATGAGTATTATTTGTTTTATTATAGTTAATTTATGTATGTATTTATGTACCAATTCCTTTTTTAGGTACCTATAATTTGTTTCAGATTAGTGCATTTAAAGGAATTGGTGGAAAGGAAGCGATTTATTAGTCTAATAATATTTTAGAAACGATTCTACGTTTCATAATATTTATAAAAAAAAACAGTATACATTTCTGAAATATTACTTTTAATATTTCTAAAAGATTTCCAAATTTTTATTTCAGAAATATTACTATAAAGTATTATATTTAGAGGACATTTTTACGTTTCAGTCACATTTCAGAAATGTTTTTGGGACGTTTCGTAATATTTATACAACATACCAAATATTTCAATCTAACACTTTTGAAATATTTCCGAAATGTGTTTCTGCTGTATGGGAAGCAGGGGCGAGTTAGTAGCCGGTCAGCGAAATCCAAACAACAGGGGTGTGTAAAGGCATTTCTCTACCCATGAAAAAAGTTATTTTAAATATATTAAAAAATGTATTACCTCCACATTACCAAACAAACAAGAGTTAATGCAATAATTATTACGGCAGCTACACTTGCTCCAATTGCAACTCCTAAAACTTCACCATCGAGTTCACATTGAGCACCATAGTAATTTCCAACACATCTAAAATATAAATAATTATATTAAGTAAAACAGTATTTAATCGGGATTTTCACCAACCCTTTACAGACTTTTATTACAAAAAAAAAGTAACTTTACCCCATAAAAAAATACCGATATGGATTTATTTATCCTTAAAATATTTGTACCTCTTCAACATATTTACGGTATACAGGATATTTTCTAAGTTGAGTTATGTATTTAAGAGCTTATAAAAACAAACATTTTTCAAATACCAGTTATGTCAGAGGCTCAAAAACAATAGAGATATTTTTTTATGTTTTAATTACGTACTTGCAAACTTCTTGACCATTTTGATAAAGACATTCTCCTCTATTATTGCAGTGTTGTGGGGGGCATTGTTCGCAAAAACGTCCTGCGCGGTGTTTATTATCCAACCAAGGATCGCGAAATCCTTCCAAACATTCACATTTAAAACCTCCAAACAGATTTACACATCTAGCTAGAGAATGGCAATCGTGCAGATCTGGAGATGAACATTCGTCAACATCTGAAAAATATTATTGGATATCATTAAATCAAAATATTTTAATTGTTATATCATAATCATTTATTTAACTCACCTTGTAGATTGGAAATAGATCCAGGTGGACTATCAACCCACAGCGCACTATCTCCAACATTGTTACTTCTTCTCTGTATAACCCCTAAAAGGTGACGTTGAATATCTCCTCTAACTGTAGGTCTAGCGGTATCAGCATTATCGTCTAGTTGTAATGTTAAATTGACAAAAACGCCAGCTTGTCCCTGGGCCCTGTCTCCTCTATATATGCTATTAACTTTAGCGGCAAGAAATTCATCACTAAACGGTGTCATCGACATAGCAGATTCCAACTAAAAAATTAAATATATTATACATATTGTTTTAAATAATTGTATTATAAACTAGATCAGATTAGCAAGTTGTGACATTGAAAAATAATTTAAAATTTCATTCTATTTTTATCGAGCTCAATGTATAATAGTAAAATGTATAATGTAAATTATATTTTTTATAATGTTGTAAGCAAATTGTGAAAAAGCACAAACAAATAATATTCAAATAAAGGATTTTGTATCGAGCATCTTATTTATAAACCTTCGTCAGAACTCCGAGAACTTCTAGACTCCAGATGATATTCAAAAAATGGTAAACCAGTAAGAAACAGTAACCGAAACTCTCACCTCTTTTTAGACAGAAAATATCAAATATCTCACAATCAGAACGTTCTTATACCTTCATGACTAACAAAATTACATGTAAAAAAATGGAAGGACAGCTGCTGCTTTTATGAAAAAAGTTGTGGTGAAACTGGGAAAAATTTACAAAAGATTTTTAAAATAAATAAGGTTTCAAGTTCCAGATTTCACTTCGAACATTTGGCTTCAGTCAATTCAAAACCCATTTTTTACCAAATTCAGTTAATCCATATAATTACAGACTTAAAGACAACATTTAAAAACCAGGAAAGCTAATCACTTGAAGCTGTAATAGATGCTACAGGAGAATTATTTGCAGACAAAAAAAAATTAACAATATTCCATCTCATTCATTAATTTTCAAAATTAAAGGTTTTATCTGTTTTTAGTAAAATTAATTTACTTACTGCTCTCTCAGCTTCATAAGAAAGTTGTTGGTAACTGTCACTATTTTGATCACCTAATTCATTGGCCCACACAACTTTTCGATCATATATTTTATCAACCCTCAGTGATAACAATATTGACACAATTTTACGGCATGGGTCTCTGTGTTTTCGTCTAGCTGTTCCAGGTCTGCAATGACAGGCGCTTACCCCTGATTCTGTCCTGCAAATTTCGTGTTGAGAACCATCACATGTTGAGTCGTCTCCAACAATACAAGTGTCTATCCTAAAATTAAATTTGAACGTTTAAAAATAAGAAACATATTTATAGTTTGAATGAAAATATATAAATTAACTATTGTGTATCGATATCTGCAGTCAAGCAGGGTCGCCCGCAGTTAGTACTTGGATGTGTGACTATCCAAGGAAAGTCGCCGTACCTATAAAAGCCCAAATAAACTGCCCGCGTAGTTGCATAATACAGCTGGCAGGCGCTACATCAATGAGTACGAGGTATAAAGTGGGATGTGCCATCTTTCGGAAGAGATGTAAAGCCGTTGGTGCCGAGTCCATGCATATTAAAATAAGAGAGGATTAGGCAAAATTTCTGTTATTTGTGGGTAGCGTATTTAAACCTCGTAGTTTAAAATAAGACGACGACGACATTAAATAAATTAATAAACAAAAAATAATCTCTGATAGGAATTAATACAATTTACATGTGTTTGAACAGTTTGTAATACATTTTATTATTCAGCCTTCATGTTATACAGTCATTTTCTGAATAAATGACAATTATTGAAAAATTATTAAGGCCGTGGAAGGAAAGAGAGAAGTCTCAACAAATCCTCCCAAAGTTACCCGACCGGTGCTGCCTCTAGTTAGCAAAAACGTAACAAAAATAAGTCCTGCAGTTTTGCATCCGCAAATAAAAAAGCATTCTTTTAAACTCGCAGGTTTGGCAGCTTTTTTATTTGGAAGACGCAATAATTCCATTGAAAAATAAAGATGGGCATTTCAGTTTATGCAGTTATAATTTACCTAAACCAATTTAGTTAATTTTAAAGTAAGCTGTTTCAAAAGATTAATTAATTGAGTTAATTTAGCATATCTTACAATATATGAAATTTATTTGTACAATACTTGTATACTATTGTCATGGGAATGCCTTAGCCGTCCCTGTAGAGCGCGACCTTCAGCCTGCCACTTGACTCATGGTCAAAACACCGCTGACGTATAGAGACAAACGCTCCGCGTCTCGAATCTACCAGAAAAAGCAATACGTGACCGTTGAGTCATAAAGATGAAATTTTCGGGTGACATTCGGAAGCGTCTGAAACTACGAGTACAGAGTGGGCTTTGTATAAATAGCGCAAGTCTGTCGACAAACGAGTAGTTTAGAATAAAGTATTGGATTGAAAAGATAAATTGTAATAAATAAATTAGAATTGTGAGTTAATGCCTAAGAATTATATAAATTAATTAGTACGTCATAAATAAATTTTAAATAGTGTGTTTTAAATAAACTATAAATAAATTAAACCATCGTCAAACTATTGTATTGTGTAAATGGCATTACATGGTGTTATTAGTCTCTCTAGACATTGATTTTACAGGCGTATAGGTAGGTATAATTAGCTTATCGTAGGACTGATTAATGCTAAAGTTTAAAATTTGGCGTCAAAACGTAAAGATCAGATGAAAACTCGAAGTCGAAAATAAAACAATCCCATACGTTCTTTGCTGTATACAGAAAAGTCAAAATTGAATTTGAAAAAAATACATTTAAGCAGATTTGTATGAATATTTAAAATATTCAATTTTATAAAACAACTACTGGTACCATTATCACCTAGGCTCCGATATCCAACAAAATTAACAAGCAATAAATTTTTGCTAAAAGTCCGTTTAGTCGATTTTCTAAATATTTACCACATCCGTACATACAGACATTTTCCGGACTCCAAAACAAAATCAATATCTCGAGATATAAAGTTGAGGCTAGACCAAGGCTTTCTCTCATTACTTACACATGCTTTATGCTTACGCATATTTTAAATATGTATAATTCTTAAAAAATTTAAAAAATCAAATAAAAATCAACTTAATAACTGAAATGATAAGCATATTATTAAACTCCTAAATACGGACCTGCGTATTTAAATGTATCTTCTGTACTGAATAGGTTATGGTTAAGCTAACGGTATGTCACGCGCCTAAGAAATTTAAAGCTTCGTCAATTAGGTCCTACCTTTTTTTCATGGCTGCCTGATGCAGACTTCTATTCCTAGGCGCGTCCACCCTAAGCTGCCAGGGTCATGGACTGTATTAGGGGCTGGTATTTAAATGTTCAAATGTAACTTGCGGGTATGTACCGAATTATCACAATGCTCTAATACTCGATGGTACTCTACGAGTTTTGCGGCGATACTGATGTTCGACCGTTTGAATACAAGAATTGTTCTTCGCCACACGGATGTATAAGTATAAGTAATGAGAATAATAAATATAAGTGAAATATTACGTTTCATACTGGATGATAATATTCAATTTAAACTTACATATACCAAATAAGTGAAGACTTAACATGCACTAATTTAGCGCCATCTATTAACGAAGCTCCGAATTAATATGTGGCTACTATTATGCATTTTTAGGAAGTTTTCTTTTATATGCAAGATAGATAGATATAAAAAGCTCTTTCCAAAATGATACTTCAATGAGCTTTTAAGGAAATTGACGCAATTGATTTAGATCTTTTAAGTGGCTTTTGTTGTTTTAATATATATCCTATTCAAAGAGCAATTATTTTCGTCATCGGGTAATTATTACTGGTATATTAACTTTATTTCATCGCAAAAATACCATATTTTGGGAATTATTTTTAAACGATCCCTTACAGTTGGAGGCACCAAAAACCTTTATTGAACAGTAGTATATATCTGTTATCGGCAGAATTTTTTTCAGTTTTGTCCTTGTTGTAGTTTCGGCTAAGAAGACACTGAAAGAACGTTGTGTATATCTATGTTAAATACATTGCCCACTCCCGGCCTTAAAACAGTTACTTCAAATAATATGTACCTCATTTAAACATCTTGCCTAATTAATTGATTTAACAATAATTAAGCAATATGAAGGATGCAATTATATCTTTATGTGGTGAATGAAACGATTGTATTTTTTTTTACCTAACAGGTGGTGGAGTAGATCTAGGTCTACCAAACCCAGGCCTTCTTTGAAGAGTAGGCTTTGTGACGGAACCCTGTCTATGAATCTTCTCAGTTTCTGCCACTGCATATCCAGTAGCAAAAACTTGATTATTTGCTGCTGCTATTCCTGTTGGTTTGATAGATGTTGCTTTAGATGTCGAATCTTCAAATAGGTTGAGGTACGTTCTTTTACCATCAATACTGACAAATTCTTCTGTACCAGAAGATGATGTAATGACATCGCCAGAATGAATATTTTCTATATCAACTAAAAAATGTACAATTATTTTAGTGATGAATATGGTTTTAAAAGAAAAATGAAAATACCTGGTATGACGTATGGCTTTCCTTCACCTCCGGAAGAAGCTCCTGGTCCTTGAATGGCTGAAACTGTTACATCAAAAATATCTCCAATTTGACCAATAGGAGGTCTTGTTATAATAGGCAGCCTATGTGACCCACCAGGTTTATATTCTGTGTCATCCAATACAATACCAGGTCTTGGTCTATATGGAAAATTGGAAAAATCTGTTGATGTTGAAGATTTGTTGAAATTTGACGGTTCTAAAAAACAGAGAAAAAATTGTAGAAAAAATATATATAAAAGAGTTAAGTATGCTGCCTATATAATGCAATATATCTACCTGATGTAGAAATCTCTATTTTTCCTCCAGTACCATTAACATTATCAATTGTAGGTAATTTATCAGTCGCAGTGCTAGAAAAACTAGAAGTCTCTTTCTCTCCTAATATGTCTGCTCTCAACGTTTGAAATATATCTATTAAGGAAGATTCTATAATAGATTGATGTACAACACTATTTGTACTTGTAGTGGTACTACTATCATTAATTATCATAGTTTCATTTATAGCAGAAGTTGAGGTAATTTCAGTAGAAGTACTTGTTGGATCTATTGATGATGACGTTTTAGCTTCATATGAATCATTGGAATTTGTAATCGGTAAGGCTGATGAACTTAAAGTATTCAGAAGTATAGTCTGTTCTTCGGTAGTTTTGGTTTCTTCAGATCTCTTGTCTGGATTGAAAGTTGGTGTTACAATTGTAGTTTTGCTGGTATATTTATCTGATTTTGTAATCTGTAATTAATATATTTTATAATGAAAACTATAAATTTTAGCTACCTATAATTAATATTTATCCGAAATAATAGAAAGAAGTCGCTTTGGAAATAGACTGAACGGAAAAACTAAAATATGATTGAAAGCTGGACAAATAAGCTATAGTAAAATGTATAAAGCAGTGATGAAACATTAAACTTTTAGTAATCAATGTAGGAGAAACCATGTGCATTGCAAAAAAAAAAGATAAAAAAGATTATGATATACCAAACAACAGTTACTCGATATCTCCACTATTATTGAATCAATAAATAAATGATAACATGGACAGGACCATATTGTTAACTTTAAAAAAGAACATATTGCCGTGTCGTTAAAATAAACTGTTTTTATTAAATAAACTGTTTTTGAATTAAACAATCGTTGCAATATACTAAGGTTTAGGCACATTCGAAGTGTAGAGGTACATGCATTCATAAGAAAAGTGAAAGACATTAAGACAATATTATAAATTTAACATTGGGATTAAGGATGTGAGGTTTTGTACTAAAATAGAAACAGAAAAAAGGGGGAAAAATAAAAAACCGGAAAAACGTAAAAAAACGAAGGACAAATGGAAACGTGCCTATAAACGACAAATAAGGATCGATTCACTGCAATCAGTTGTTACAAACAATAAAAATAATCATATGTAATACCACTTCACATTTCACAATAACATTGTGAGTTTGTTATTGGTTTTGATGCAGAAAATCACAAATTAAAAACTAAATATCTGTGGCAAATGAATATTATTAATAACGAAATCGTCCCACAAAAACAGAATAAAAATTACTTACATTCTTTATCTTTTCCTTATTTTTCTCAAAGTCTGCTGTTTCTTTATCAACCTCAACCGATGATTCATGAGCGACATTAGTTTCAACATCGGGTAGTTCCGTAGAATTTCGTACTTCTTCCTCTTCTGGGTAATAAGAACCTTCATCACCATTTGAAGATAAGTGAGAACTCATATCTAAAGTCAAAATATCCTCCATAGGTTTCTCTGATGTCAAACTAATCATTTCTGAAGAGAATGGTGGCAACGGTTTATAGGATGGTATTGGTTGACGTCTGTTATTAGAATTGGGAGGACGACGCCTCTTCCAAGGAGGTATAGTTTGCGGTCTAAGAAAACCTGGGCGTTTGTTATTTATAGAATGATCGGATATAGGTATGCTAGTTCCGCTACCTGTCATAGGGCGTACAGGTGACATGTTTGGATGAGGAACATCAAACGGGTAAGGAGTAGGAATTCTTGTAGTGGACATCGGTGGTGGCATTTGGCCTAAAATTAAACAAAAATATATAAATTTTACAGAAATATTAAATAATATTTATTCTACTTTAAATAGAAAACAAAATGAAATACTACATTTTCAAAGCTCTAAATTATTATCATATTATCATATGTGGGCTGAAAGATAAGTTATCGAGATACTGTGGGCTTGCCAAGAAAAAAGTTACGATAACTCCTACTTGGTACCCCAATAACAAGTAATATCAAAGCCTACGAATTTAAATTTACAAATTGATATGTCCTGGTAATTTTGCTTGAATAAGGTACTAGACGCAATTATAGGCCAGCGGATAATATGGACCACAAGCTACAGCTCGAAATATAATTTTTTCTCGCACAATCTGACAACGTCGCAGAGTGCGCACTCTGTTAAAATTTCTTTGCTCGAGGACCCCGGATCATGCGTGATTTATTACGCCAGGGCAGTTCTCGACCGGCAGTGCATGTGAAATGTTTTTATAAAATTTGATGCGACTTTGTTGATAAATTTTTGGTGTTTAAAGTTTTAAAAATAAATTGCTGTCTACATAGAGGTATGTACCATCTTATAAGCTATCTTTTGGTATATAACTGTTGGATATTTCTTAAGGCGTACATTTTTTTAACAGCAAAAATAGATTTTATTACTGAGTTGTGTAATATGGGCCAAATTTTGACGGGTTATATGAACCGTGGCCCATATAACGCGACAGTGCCCCTTATCAAACAATGTGAATCGAATATATGATTTTTTTCTCTTTAGGTTCATGATGGGAAAGCCTTGTCAAAATCTTCGGAAGCAATGGACCCAGGAGAACCTTGTAAATGCTGTGCCGGCCGTTAGGAATGGAGTGTGTCAAAGAGAAGCCTGCAGACAATTTAAAGTGCCCATACGCACTCTTAAAAGGTATTTAGAAAAAGGTGTGAGTGTAAAACGTTTAGGCCGCCCGAGTCTTTTGACTATTCAACAAGAAAGATTTTGTTCGGCGAATCAAACGTTATTCGCAAGTCGGTTTACCACGTACACCAAAACTGGTGCGACATCAAATGTTTAAATATTGTCAAATTAACAAGATTCCAAATAACTTTAATCAAGAGAAACAGGTTGCTGGAAAAGACTGGCTGCGGCTCTTTCTCAGGCGCAATCCTGACTTGTCAGCAAGAAGGGCTCATAATTTGAACCCTGCGCGGACACAAAAACTAAATAGGGCAATTGTATCAGACTATTTTGAAGAAATTGATAAGCTTATGACAACTTTAGACATAAAAGACAAATCACAGAATATGTATAATATGGATGAGAAAGGCTGTCGCCTAACTATCCATAAACAACGTGTACTGGCCAAAAAGGGAGTAAAACGCGTGCACCTGAACACGCAGAGAATGTAACTGTGGTAGCCTGCTGTAATGCGATTGGTAATACGATTGCGCCAATGATTATCTTTAAAGGAAAGCATTTAAAGCCTGAGTTCCTGGACAACTTTCCCCATGGATCTTTGGTTAAGATGGCTCCAAAAGATAGCATGACTTTTTAAAGCACTTTGCTATGTACAAATCAAATGGACCAACTCTTCTTGTATTTGATGGAGCATCTAGCCACTTGGACTTTACAATTGCAACTGCAGCCGATGACCTTAACATTAACCTCTTTTGCTTGCCATCAAATACGACTCACGAATTACAGCCCTAGATAAAGCTGTGTTTCGATCCTTTGAAGCGCACTGGGACCAAGAACTTTTAAAGTACTGGGACACCTACCCGCAAAGAACCCTTAACAAGGCGAGATTTAGGGCTACAGGCTTACTTCCCCTAAATCCAGATGCGATACACGATTCAGCGTTTGAGATGTTGATGACTCTTCAGACGAAGATAATGTAGCTTTGCCCGTCGAGTTAAATTAATTCCCAAACATTCTTCTCCTGAAAAAACCGAATATGCAGTAAATAAATCATTTGATGAATTGCTACCAACTCCTGTCAATAAAAGGGACGAAGTTAAGACACGTAGAAAGGCTATTAATTACAAAGCACAGCAGGTTACCAGAGATCTTTTTAACAGTTCAATTTAGACCATTGCATCTTGTTCCACTCCAAATGTACCAAGTCCATCAACTTCTAAGCAATTGGAAAAATCTACATTTGAAGATTCTGTAAATCAGTCCAGTACATCTCGTTCCACTCGAAGAGCGGACCCCTGAAGATAATGTTAATCAATCTTGGTTTTGTGTGGCTTGTAGAGCAAGTGGCCAGCTGGACATGAGAATGTGTGTTAAGTGTTTTACCTGGTATAAGAAGGAATGTGTAGGCTTAAATTCCAATGACCTAGAGGATTTGGAATGTTGCTAAGTTTTTTAATTCCTACCTTAGTTTTTTGGTTACCTTTAATATGAAGTTTGTTAAATTGTTACTTTTTTTGTTGCTCTTTTTTTAAATCGTTTATTGCTTTAAAGCATTATTGGTAGTTAGTTTTAAGTTAAGCGTTTATTAAAATATTTAATATTTATTTAAATAATAAAAAACATTTTTTATTTCATTTCAGTGTTGATTTTGTGCCTTTTTACACAAAATTAATTTCAGGAATGGAAACCCATCACAACTAAAGGTTAATCATATTTTTTATTGACGGCCCATATGCAGGTCAGGTTTTTCCTAGATATTTTCTTCATGGAAAAATTTCGCGAATAAATTTACATAAATATAGCACCGTTAAGTATCTTATTATTAGCCAAAAAGTGCCTTTAAATATTCACATTTGAAAAATAAAACGTATTTTGATTAAGGTGGGCCTCTAGTACCTTATTATACAATATGGGGGAGGGTGTTTTTTAAGGCATGATTTTTTTTGTGGGTTTTTTGGCAGGTTAATATTATTTGGTAGAGTATTTTTTGAGTAATAACATTTTTTGCATTTTATTTTGGAAGAATTTTTTTGTAGAATTTGGGGAAAGGGAATAATTTGGAATAATTTTGGTTCTGATAAAAAAAAGGACCCAAAAAAGGACGCAAAAAAGGACGCAAGAAAAAGGCAGGAAAAAGTTCCGCAGAAGAAAAATGTGGGCCAAAAATAAAGCAACATAGAACTTAAGAAGAGCGCCAAAAATTGGGGAAAGGAAATAATTGGAATAAAATTGGTTCTGTTGTAAAAAAGGGCAGAAGAAAGGTCCGGAATAAAAGAAAGATAAAAAATGTAAGTCAAAAAGAAAGCAAAATAGAACTTAAAAGGAGCGCGAAAAATATCGCGGTAAGAACAAAAAACAGAGCGAGAAAAGAGTTGAAACAGTACTCATTAATTTTCTAGGGTGTTTTTTTTGTGGTGTATTTTTTCAAGTAGGTATATTTTTTTCTGGATGGGGTATTTACTTTGGTATTATTTTTTGGCGTGGAGTATTTTTTGGATGGGGTAATATTTGGGATATTTCTTTATGGTTGATTTTATTTTTGGAGTTATTTAAATTTGTTTATTTTTTTTTTTTAGTATTTGTACAAGAAAAATAATTTTTAGTGTTTTTGTTAAATACTTATGCGTGGGTATACATACATTTTGACACTTTTTAGAAATTATTGGTCAAAACTCCTGGGACATAATTTTTCTAAAATCTATTTATTATATTTATTTTTTTACCTAAAGGTGGAGGAGGTAAAGGTGCTGGTACATCAAAATCTGGAGGTAAAGCAGGAACATCCGTTATCCTAGGAGGTCCTCTGTTATTTATTCTAGTGGAAAGAGGCCGTAGAGGTCTGCCAACCACTGGTCCTGTGTTAGCTTGAACATTTACGTTGCCTATAACAAGTAAATTTATTAATAAGTGAAAAATATGGTCTAAATAATTAAGTACCCATATTTGTTTAATATAAGTCTTTGATTTAACCAGTTAAAATAGGAAAGGGGTGGTCTGGATTTATTTAGTTAATTTATTGTTTATTTTTAAGCATTTTTAATAGGTTAGTCGGCTCCTAGCAACAATGTTTTAAGTAGCTGCTTTTCTAATTAATTTTACTTAAGATTATATAAAACATCATGTTACTAATTCATTGAAAACTAAAAAGTATCTTATGAGTAAATTCATAAAAGAAACCAAACCTAATTAGAAATATGAGAAAATTAAACATTAAAGAAAAAATACATTAAAAAAGGGCGTCTATTGAAAGGATGATTGAAATTAAACCATATTTGCAGCTCTAGGTGATATAAGTGAGCTAGTTTTACTAAACTTTAGAATTGCAGTAATATAATTTTTCTTAAAATATTCAGATGGGTTCAAAAGGTAGAGCCTTCCTTTTGAACCGGGTTGCTGGCTGACTGTGAATGGTATTCAGAACACCGATCACAGAGCAGCCGTAACTGGACCCAAACTCGTAGAGCAAGGTCCCCATCTAGACTGTGAAATGTATTGGATAGGAAGCATGAGTTAAATTAATTGAAATGAGTAGGGTATCTAGAAGGTTGTATAATAAGCCCTAAGGAGGGAAGGCAACATACAACTCCAACCTGAGAGGGAGAAAGACCTGAAAGGGTAAATAACAGTTAAAAATAAATAATAATTTTCTACCGCTTACCATTTAATAGTTTAACGATACCCGTAATAATATCTTGAATATCAGGGTTGGCTTGTCGACCACGATTTAATGGTAGGTGCGATTGGGTAGCAAAACTCGTCGTTGTCATTGTGGCACTGGGAATGACTTCTTGGGGCTCCCGCAGAGGCAATGACCGTGCTTGAAGCGGAGCCCCGATCCATTCCCCCGACAGTTGTTCGGTTTTTTGATGAACATCGGTCGAGGGGTAGTCTTTTTCCTGAAAACAAAATGGGAATAATTTGAAAATGTTCTAATACGTAGATTCTTTATGCAGAAGAAACAGCTGTAAAAAGTTTGAGGACAGCTACTGAAGATACGAATGAGCGTGAAGGTTCAGTCAGTTCTTTCTGATATTATGTAATTTCTGTTCCCTTTGGTACGAGAATAAATAAGAAAGTAAATTCCACCTCCAATATAAAATAAACAGTATTCTAAAGCAAATATTAAATGAATAAACAATTGAAATCACGTGGACCAGCCCTCTATACAGAAATCCACTACCAGTAAATATTTTATTCTCCATACCTCAGCTCCATGCCTAGATTCTGATATGAAAATTGATGATGTAACAAAAAAAGTATCAATATTGAAATATGCTAGGATGGTGAAGCTTCTGAAATTTTAAAATAAAAATCAGGATGTCAAGGAAGTTTTTTGAAAGGGTTATGGTTGGAACCGTTATTTCGGACACAATCTTCTCTTACTTAAATGTCATTTGTCGTCTATGCTTTGTGTCAGAGAAAGTGACATTTTTAATTTGATCTGATAGATAACATCGATTAGATCACTTCTATTTTAATTTTCGGTCTTCCGAAATATTAAATTATATTTATTTGTGTTAATGACCGTCTGATATTATAAGCCAATGGCAGTCTCTAGACGGTTCAGGTTCAAATACAATTAAGAGTCATTAATCTACAAGATCATTCACGGTTCAATCGAATGGGAGTTTAGAAGAGAGTTATGAAATAGAATCCCGAATCACTCGGTGGAAGTTGCCTGACCGGTATATAATGTTTAGCGATTGATGTATCTCTGTAGTTTGGGACGAAGGAAGAAATACCTAATTTTACCTTTAACTTACCATACCGTATATTACCTTATTTACCTCACAGATAAGTGCAATTGATCTAATCAATAAATTGTTTTAAATATGAATTATGTGCAAACTTATGTGAATTAGAATTTGATGCCTACCTTATCTAGAGCATTTTTTAATGCATAATTTGTTAGTGGTTAGTGATTTTCTATATTTTTATCACTATTGTAGAATTAAGTGTATAAGCTTTAAATATAGTGGTGCCCAACTTCTTTTTCAAAGTTATTAGAGTTATTTAAAAACCTAACCCACGCCCTATAAATTGAGTTCAAACACATATATAAAAGTAGATAAATTAACCAGCTATTTATGTTACAAAAATGGCGCCTCAACTGGGTTAAATAGCTCTTAACTGTGAAATAGTTTCCTTGTAACTTATAACTTATCGTTCTAATTCCCATAGGTATTTTACAGAGGTTAACTAAATTAACTGCATGTCTTGTATTTTTATTAATACTTTCTTACCTCTTATTTTAACCTTTTCTATACATCTGCATGTTGTACTAGGTCAAGTTTTATATAATACCTGCATATTGTACTTAGTCCAGTGTTGATCTGACAGACAACGTCGATTAGATCAATACGCTAGTTCAGTGATGATGTAATTATGGTTCCACTGACAATTAAAGTGACAGTAGATTTTTTGAGTGCATTTTATTCGTTTTGTTTACCTAAATTACATCGTTTCTTCACTTTTAAAAATATATTCCTAAAGTAAGTAGATAACATGCATCAAATATACCATCGTTTAGTTACCATTACATACCTTTAAACTATTTTTGATGACCTGTAAACAATATTTAGAAATAAACTAAAAGCATTTAAAACGTATATGTCAAATTTATTGAGGTTTTTGTTAAAAGTTTGGTTAGAATTAAATGTCAGTGGAACCAAAATGACATCACACCGAACTAGCGTATTGCACTTATCTGTGTGGTAAATAAGGTAATATACGGTATGGTAAGTTAAAGGTAAAATCAGAAAAAACTTGTCAAAAAAGATAATTGAAAAGTCTAGCTACTCGGATAGTTAAAGTGAAGAGAAGCAAACTAAATGTAAAGGGAAAGGTCGAAATGATAGTTTAGAAAACGTTGATGATTTGATCAGAAAATACTTGTTGAGAAAGAGCATTTGGAAGTCTAGTTACTCCAGGTATGAAAGGCGGTTCATACTTTTAGATTTTGACAGTTAAATGAATAACGATGCACTTTGCCTAGTCTGGTAAGTAATAATGGTAAGAAATTAGTCATTAATTATTAATGAATAATAATTAACAGACAGATGTTGAATAGTCTAATGGAAAATATCAACCATTTTCGTAGTCTATATAAAGAAATATTTTTTACATAGTGACGTTGACAAATCTGGAACGAAGTTTTGCTAATATCAAGGACAACAATAATGGTTTCGGTTTGCAATTGGGTAGAGTTACAACATAATATAATGCTAATAAAAATCGCACCAGTCTATGCCATTGACGATAAAAAATATGATATATTTGTTATTGTTTAGCTTTAAATTAATTCTATTCGTTTATAATCTTAAAAGAGATACTTCTGATGAAAGTGAGCTATGCTTTCACTTCATTTACTATGAGGCCAATGGTCGAAAAAGAGTCTGAAGCAGGCCCAATGAAGAATCTTTTGCAAAGGACCCTCTTCTCCTCCTCCAAGTAAAGCTAACAGTGGAGGACGTCAGGCCAGCAAAAATGACATTCCATAACCTCCAGCAAAAAAACTCCGATGAGACACACGAGATCACCCCCTTCCAACTTTCGGAGGACGAGATGGTTGAATAATCACCTTGCTGCCCAAACTTTAACGAAATACCTCTATAATGGCATGATGCATCTTTTATAATTTACGGGGATTTTTCTTTTTTATTTACACGTGCAACTGCTCATGACCGTATTTATAAGTTAGACGTGCTATTCATTTTGCAACAGCCCAAGACGTAGGCAAACAGACGAAACTAGCATTAATAAATATTTTGGAAATTTTTATTATTACTAGTTTCGTCTGTTTGCCGACATCGTGGGTTCTTGCAAAATGAATAGCATGCCTAACTTACGAATTTCATTATTTGCAATTAATATTTGCCCATGTTACAATGTTCCAATTATGCCGAATCATTTTTTTGATAAATAAAAACGAAAATCCTTGTAAATTATAAAAAAATGCATCATGTCATTATCGAAAAGAATTTTCACAGACATTTAAGGCAATATTAGCGAGTATAGGTACTGTGATTTTGCAAGCATGTTATTTTGTTTACTATATGAGATCAAATAATGTTAACAGCAATTAATTACTTTTCCGGAGTCATAAGTGGCTACAAATTCAGTTTAAAATCTTAAATATTAAAATGAAATGATATCAAATTTGTAACTGTGTCACATTTTTGACCGTCCAGCAATCCATTAATTTCGGTTTTTTGTAATTTTTGACAATGTTGACGAACCTCTATCGAGTTGCAAAATCTGTTAATTTCGATTCATTCAGTACTTTATCTTACCACAAAGTTTAAAAAATGTTAATGTTAAATTTTTCACCATTATTACTGGCCTATAGTAAATATGCAGGGAGAAAGTTCTTAAAGCAGTCAAAATCAAACAATGAATGTGTAGGAGAGAATAATAGTTGAAAAGTGGTTTATATGAAATAACCAGTTTGGTTTCATATCAATAAGATCGGAAACAGATAATAGTTTTATCGATAAACAGGTTATGAAAAAATGTAGAGAAAAGCAACGAAATCTAATGATGGTATTTTGATTCAGAGATTTATAACAAAAAAACAATGACCTAATTATTTTGTAGGAATATATGTATTTTACATTTTTAATAATTTTCAGTTTCTCCGCTTTAAAATATTAAAAGTATTTGTGCTATTTCCAAGTATGTAAGGAAAAACAATATTGTTGTTTTGAGACTGGTAGAATTTGTCAAACTTTCTAGTTAATATCTTAATCACTTGGATATCTTAAAGAAAATTAGCCATTTAAATATGAAAACCCATATACATGGTGGTAAGTAAATTACGGAATGATTAAAATAATAAAACACTTTTTACCTCAAGACGAGATATTTTTTTTAAACTGTGGTACAAGGGGGTTAGGCCTATTAAATACGAAAGTTTGAAAACCGCTGATATAGGCAATAGATTTAAAATTTCATGACCGGACTTTGAATCCAATCAAATTAAAGTGTCTGTAAGAAAATAGGAACGTGCTTATCTATACAGAGAGCAGAAAAGCACTACTCACCTTGAACAGACCACGAATTTACTCAGGGTTAGTACGAATGTCACGAAGCTTTAGCCGAAGTATCCATCAACAATGTGGTCACCTTAAGATGGATCAAAGGTCACGCCACATCGAAAGGTAACCAGCTTGCTGATTCACTAGCCAAGAAAGCAGCCAACTAAATTTTGGACCTGTCCCTTCTATTGGTCTGACAAAATAGGTAGTGACAGACCTAATTAAAGAACATTCCCTTGTGAAATTCAAGAAAAGATGGGATGAAATAAGAAACTGCAGAGTTGCCAGGAAGCTCTTAAGTTATCCTGACAACACTACAGCAAACAAATACTTGACTATGAATATATGACTAGACAGAATTTGCACCTAGTCACAGGCATTTTGACTGGTCATTGCCAAGTACGGAAGCACCTCCATATCATGGAGCTGTCAGAATCCGCACTCTGCAAAGGGTGCGAACAAAAGATGAAACCATCGAGCATATCCTTTACGATTGCTTGACGCTCTCATTTATTAGAAGATTTGTGTTTGGCGAGTATCGGCTAACACCGGCCAATATAAGAAAAACACCTCTTGGCGACGTTGTCAACTACATTAAATCTGTAGACTGGCTCATGAGCTAGGAGGAGCCTATCATCTTAGGAGGATGCTCAATGGGCCTAATGAGGCCTAAGTGTAGTGAGGGTAACATACCCTACACACGTTACAGATACAGAAGGAAATAGATGACCGACTATTTCCAAGATAAACTGACGCAGGTCTGCAAAAAATGCAAATCTTGAAAAAAACAATGTTCAGGAATATTTCTAAATACATACCGTTTTTGATGGTTGAATATATCCAGCTAGTCTTCCAGATAGCTCAACATCATTGCTATCCAAAGCTTCTTCTACATTTTTGAAGACATTAAACTCATTTGTGATGGCCGTTTGAGATAAAATTGGATCTGCAGAGCGAAGAACTCTAGAAGCAGATGAAGAAAGAGAGAGATCTTTGTTTTTTTCTATCATCGAAATATCTTCGCTGGTAAAGTCTGTAGTAACAGATTTTTCAGATTCTTTGATATCTTTGGGTCTAGATGTCTGCATTGCCTGAACCACATTGTCGTCTGCTTCTGCGTTCGCTGAATTTGGAGAAATGAAAGAATTGGAATAAACGTCGTTTAGTGCTGAAACAAAAAAAATTGAAGAAATTTTATATATTTTACTGTTCTAAATAGACGTAATAAAAAAACTCATAGCTTAGGAGTTAATAGGCAAAACAAAGAAGATCACTTTTGTAAATGTTTTTCGCCTGCAACTTTTTTTCTTGAAAAAATTTTAAGCTGTCAGGTCCAGATTCGTATTTAGCACCATCGAAACCAATATGTACATTAAACATTTACGCTTATGCTAAGCGTTACTGTGTGATTGGACTATTATCAGGAAGTGAACTTAAAAGAAAATATAGATATATTCCTAGTGTACATGATTACAAGCCAACCAACAGATATCTATCGAAAAAATTATAAAGTTAAATAAATTACCAACATGAAAGCATCCAATGTGAACAAATAAGCAGTTGCAGTATGGCTGAACTCAGATTTGTTGTAGAATTAAAATGTTGTAAAAAATTCAGTTTGCAGTTATAATTAAGTTGATAGATACGCAACAGAGATTTATATCTAGAAATCTTGATGTGAATTAAAAGGAAGTAAAAAATTATATTTTGCAATTTAAAGAAAAATTAAGATATATAAATAATTATTTATACATTTGTAAAATTAAATTTGAGATAATAATTAATAACAAACGCCAAAGGAAGTCACTTGTATAAACAGTATGGTGTAGAAAATATTTTAATAAGGATAATCAGTTAGCAAAATATACAGTATGTCTAATATAATCTTCAGTCTATACTCGTATACGCCAAAATAAATTCTACACCAAAACTCTTCTGTTACCATCTGTTATATTAAATTTTAGATCAACTATAATTTAAAAATTGAGGATACTTTATTGGAAACAATAAAGTTGACAAATTATTCTTTTTTAATGATCCATATATGAAATTTAAGAAGCACAAATAAAAAAATTGCTGCCACTATTGCATACTTCAAATTATGGCTCTGTCACAAAATAACGCTGAAGCAAATAACGCGCATCAAAATAGCGCCTGAACGAAATAGCGCATATCAAAAGAGCGTCAGTCCAAACAGCACCTGATCGAAATAGCGCTTTATAAAATATGGCAAAAAATAACAAAATGATTAGAAAAACTAAATTAATTTACGTAACTTCTGCGACCTAGAGTCATTCCAGGTTGATTCGTAAAAAAATTATACATAAAATGAGAGAGTTAATAAAGAGCTTTAATAATTTACCTAATTGGTGCATGAGCGATGGTTAAATATTAAATGACTCTAGGCCGCATAGGTTTGGTGATTTAGCTTTTATTTTAATATTCTTATTTTATGTATAATTTTTTTTTAAAAAGCAACCCGTGGTGGCTGTAAGCCGTACAGGTTAGGTAAATTAGTTAAGTTTTTTTAATCAATTTATGTAAAATCAATAGTGCTGTTTGGAAACGCGCTCTTTTGTTTGGCGGTATTTTGTGAAAGAGCCATTTCGAACTGATGCTGTTTCAATACTCACTATTTCAGAAGGCGCTATTTTATTAAGGCGCTTTTTCTTTTGGGAGCTGTTTTGAGTGACTCTCTTTTAATACACGCTATTTTATTCATGGACGCTATTTTGATCGGATGCTATTTCGCTCAGCGCTATTTTGATCAGGCTTTCAAATAATAGCGCTATTTTGATAAGTGCTATTTCGTTCAGCGCTATTTCGTGACAGAGCCTAAAATATTTTCTTTTGATGCTCCTTATCTGAAATTTAAAGGAAATAAATAGAAAAATTGCTGTCACAATTTATATTTTTATTTTTTCATTTCTTATAATTATTTAGATGACATTTATTTAGTCCTCAAATTTTATATATTCGAGTTTTTCGTAAATCTTAAAACAACAAAGTTCTAAAATTTGATAGTACAGAAATTCAACAAATGATGAGAAAATTTTTGCTCTAGAAATTTTTTTAAGCGGTTGCTATAAAAATTGACGTCTTACGGAACCGTATCACTTTCTTGTACTCACCTATCAAAAATAACTTACGGTCGCATTTAGGCTTACTTTGGCTCGTCTAAAATCTACAGACACCTTACAAAAGTATAAGATATTAGGAGCTTTATTGTTCAGAAGAGACTATAACAGGATGTGCAAAATGGTCTTAACACCCCGGGTAACATATACATACTATTCTTCGTCAAAAGTCAAAATTAAATAAAACCACGTATTGAAATTTACTTATAGTTTCTGTTATTTCTGTTTTTACAATTATTAATCTCAAGTTGAGAAGTTGACAAATGAATCTTTTTTTTTATTAAAATTGTCAACCTCTGTATTTATTTTGTGGCAAACTTTCATAAACTATTAAAATTTTTATTGTATATGAATATTTTCTTTAATTAAAAATTATTTAACTAAAAAATAGTGATTCCACTTCAACGTTACCAGATTGCATGCAGAACCGTCGAAAAAATTAAAATATAGGATGCAAAAATGGTTTCGTATCCTAACCAATAATAATAAATGATTTTATGACCAAAATTCAAAATATACAGCACGCAAACTTTCCATTCCTGACTCCAGAAGAACGGTATAGAAATGCAATGATATTGAAAAGATAGAAACAGAATAATACATCACCGACTGCAGGCCGCAATATCTATGCAATATTCGTCCTTGCCGTAGAAGTAGCCTAAGTTAAACCAATTACTATTTTTATTACGCTCAAGTCCAAATTTAATTAAAAGTCTCATCTATATTTTGCTGGATGCGTCGGTTAACGTACTGTATATTATAGTATATTGTATAAATTTTAAAAAATCAAACATGTAAATTTTAAAGATTGTTAAATAAACATTTAGCAATAATTGTTTTATTAGATGCTTCACCTTCGTTCGAGACTCTTAAAGTTTTTGTCGCTGTGTGCTTCTTTCTTCTATTATAAGAAACTCTCAAGAAATAATCGAACAATGCCCTTTACAGAGTAAACTTGTGACAGACTTACAGGATTTCCTATTATTTTAAATCTAGCAGCTTTTATACTCGTAATATGAGTTTTTTAGTTTTCCATTCGTTACGTTCTATGATTTTCTATTTTATAAAAAGAACTAACTGGATAGCTATTCACTAAGTCATGGGAGCGCTCCCATGGGAGTGCTCCCATATATTTTGCTCTCTTACTCTTAGGTGGGTATATCGTGCTTACTCACTTTTAGCCCAGGTACATGCGTAGTAAGGTCAGATTTTATGCTATGGGAGGGAGAATTGCGGGCTTGTCAGATTAGGTCCGTATTTATCACAAAGCAAATTTGAATTACTAAGGGCTGATTCCACCGTTGAGTTAAACGGAGATTAAAATGACATTGTTAATGTAAAAATGTCATTTTAAACTTCGTTTAACACAACGGTGGATCGGTCCTTAAATAGTAGATCAAAGTTATTCTGTCGACTTGGCAACGTTGGCATGGGAGTATGGGAGCATGGGAGTGTGGGAGTGCTCCCATGAGTTAGAGAATAGGTATCCTGGTGTATTTGAAGGCTGGTTTAGAATATAATTTTAAATACTTAGACAACTTTTTATTTTATATACAAAAGTTACTTGTTCCGATTTTTCTTTAATTTCTTTTGTAACTTTGCCATTTTTATGATTAAAGAATAAATGACCTGAAAAAGAATCGATGGAGCCTTGATATTAAGTTGCAGGAAGCGAAAGGCGAGGTTACATGTGTCCGCTAGTGAACCAAGATACAAAACGTCAAATTAACAAAAAATTATATGTTTTTAGTATTCGTGAATCATAAACCATCCCAAACAAACCAAAAGCGTGCATAATTGGGTCTTTATCGCACGCCGTGCTTATAAAGGTTGCTAAATAACCGCTTCAATAAATAAAATTAGATTATGGCAGATTTTATATTGAATTATCAAACTGTTTACAACTTTACCTAAAAACAACGTTAAGGCCACTCCGCTGCGCGTCGTGACCTTAAAATCATGCTCATGCTTTAAAGACTCGATTGTGCATTAGTATCATAATATACTATTTTACTTTACTTTAGAACGCTATTAGGTTTGGATATGAAAATGGGTGTCTTATTAATGGACAACCTTGAAGTAAACCTATTGATTACATTTAAATAACACCATGATATTACTATTTTTTTTATAATTTGAACTTAATTTGGAAGTTTCCAAATAAATTACAAACTTACCCATACGAAATAATGAAAAATGTTGTTGAACCCAAAAAAAATCAAAAAATTCTGTCCGCGGGGAATTCGAACCCATTGGCCATCGGGACATTAAATCTCCAACTTCTAAATGGTTAATTTAAATGTAGGATTTCAAATCCAAACTCGGTGACAGAAAATTTCCAATTTTTAACAAACTACTAATCAGCATCGTCTAGGGAAACATGCTATGCATGAAGACACGTCCCTAGGTCGTCTGTGTGTATTAAGTTTTCGTTATACGTAACAACGTAGGACGTGGACTATGTAGTGAGAAATCTGTTTAAAATTCTAAATAATTATCGGTTATTAATCCTAAAGCAAAGGTATCTAGTTTCTTTCGAAGTCCCCAAATAAACTACAAAATTAGGCATTCCAACGACCTGTCAAACAATAGCTGCCAGTGGGAAGGGCTCGTATATCTAAGGGAGTTACAACATAGCCGTCCATCTTGGACGCTATTTTTATTCGAAGTAGTAGTCGCCAAGCCTGCCAATTTATGACAAATATATAAGCAGTATTTTAAAAATATTTTTATTGCGTTCGACATAAAATATTTAAATGTAATTCATTATTCATGATTTAACGTGTTGTAAATAGAATACATCGTATGTCGCAACCCCTTAGATTTATCAACCCTTTCCACCGACAGTTCTTTTGTTTGAAATGCTTAATATGTATTATCTCATCTGGATCTATGTCAATTTTTTTCTATTGAGAATGCACGGTGAGAAAGCATTAGGCAATCGCGGTCCCGTCGCATCGCGGGTTGTGCTGGTGGATTCTATGGAACAGATAGAAGAAGAATACAATACGAACGAGAAGACCTAGTGGAA